TGTAGTTTAGTAACGTTAAAATCTGATCTGATGTTAGTAGTATCATCTGCGTATAAGACTAATTCACCATCGGGAAAAACACTGTGATTGTCATTAATATAGAGGAGGAAAAGGATAGGTCCAAGGACCGACCCTTGAGGAACACCAGAATGGGTTACAAGATCAGTGGAATGATCGTTCTCCAGTGCCCCTGACTGACATCTGTTTGACAAATAAGATGTTAGCAAATTCCATTCAGATCAAATGTTGTGTGATGCCAGTTTACGTATTAGTAAGATGGTAAATTTTTACTCAAAATATATTTACTCATCCCTCCCCCTCTAAAAAATTGATGACGTCTCAAAATTTTGCTGAATAAATCCTATCTTAAATGTGCAAAGTATGGTGAGACAATACTCGTGATTTATCATTCCATTCATATTTTTGGGATTTGCCTATACAGGCTGACTCAAAGAAATTAATGAATGCGTAAATTTATTTTATTGATTTAATCAGGAACTACAAAACCAAATGCTTTGAAATCTTGGAGATATTTTAAAGTTGTCAAAATTTTTCCGAAAAAATGTTATCTTAAATGTGCATTGTGCAAAGTATGATGAGTCGATAATTGTGATTTATCACTGCATAAATATTTTTTAGATTTGCTTATACGGGGTGTGTGAAAAAATTAATGACTGAGTCAATTGATTTTATTGATTAAATCAATAATTGCAAAACTGAATACTTTGAAATCTTGACGTTTTGAAGTTATTGTAAGCATGGTAACTTTTTTAATGAAAATATCTGTTTATCAACCCCAGAAAATAAATTCGTTCGCAAATGTGCAAAATATGAACAGACTTTTAATCGTTGCGTTCATATTTTTTAGATTTGCTTAAACAGGTGACTCAAAAAAATTAATGAATCAGTCAATTTATTATTGATCAAATTAAGAACGAGCTACCCCATTTTCTGGAAAATGTGAGAATACGCTCGTCATTATAACAATAAAATAATGATAAGGTACGAATTATAATAATAACATTCAGAATATTTTGTTTAATGGAGGCTTATGAATAATTTTAGTCATCTGTTTTGGGGCGATGAAGTCATTCAAATCAAACAAATGTCTACATTCTTCGTGACATTCTTCCGATGTAATGTATTCCTGTAACACTATGCAACACTAAAAAACTCACAGAAAGTTCAGATCGTGTTTGAGGTTGGGTATACTTCATATACTAAAGAAAAACATGTTTTATAGCCATATCACATCACAAAACATAGATAACGGGTGTTTTGTTTTTGTTACTTTTTGTGACACTTGATTGCAAAAATATCGCTTTTATGTATCCACCCATGCTTGCAGAATTCTGTTGGTGACTTCAAAGGGATACTGCAAGATCTGGCTACAGCAGGAATGCCAATCGTTCGAAAAAAAAGAAGTTTTTCAATGAAAAACTATCAAACTATAGGCCAGTGAGTTTGACATCGCTCGTAGTCTAGGTCATGGAATCCATTATCTATGACCATTTAGTCAAGTTTCTTATAAATCACAATCTAATTCCACCTGACCAGCATGGCTTCTTACCTGGAAAAGGTGTCCAATCTAATCTTTTGTGCTGTTTGTCAGACTGGACTAGGAATATCGATCTGGGTCGCCCCGTCGATATTTTATATCTCGACTTTTCAAAAGCTTTTGACAAGGTTCCGAAACGCAGGCTTCTTCACAAATTGCAACATCTTGGTATACGAGGAAACCTTCTTGGGTGGATAGATTCTTTTCTGAACGATAGAACATTTCGAGTCAAAGTCGGTGATGGACTTTGTAGATCTGTCGATGTTGTGAGTGGGGTGCCCCAGGGTTCGGTGCTTGGCCCGCTACTCTTTGTCGCTTATATTGCCGATATCAAAAACATCGTAACCTCGCCTTTCGCCATGTTCTCAGATGATCAAGCTTTACAGCAGTAGTGCGAATTATAGGGATTTAGAACGAGATCTTCGAGCAACATATGACTAGACTCATGATTGGTTGTTACCTTTGAATTTAGATAAGCGCATAGTCGTACACCTTGGGAATAATAACCCCAACCACGTTTATTTCGTTGACAACTTAACTTCTTTCATGTATAGATTCGCACGTTGATTTGGGTGTTGTTGTCACCTCCAGTTTCTCATGGACCGAGCACGTCCAGTGAGTTGCGAGCAAAACATTTTCCAAAGCTAGTCCATTAGTCTTTTCTAAACTTTTAAAAACATATGGGCGGCCTTTGCTAGGATTTGCTAATGGTGTCTGGTCTCCCATACTTCAAAAAGACATTTTGTGCTTGGAATCCATTCAGCGTCGAGCAATCAAATTTCCGTTCGGCATAAATCGGCCTCCTTACTGCGAACGGCCTAGCCTAATGCATCTCTGCCCTCTTTCAGACAGGCGCAAACGAGGGGATCTAATCAGTACTTATTAGGCCTTGAGTAATAGTCTTTCCCCAGTGAGGCATCTCTTCCCTCTCAATACCTCAGACCGCACCAGAGGGCATCCTCTAAAGTTGCGTAAGTTGAAGTTTTGCACTTTAGCTCGCCAAAAATTTTTAGCGAATAGTTGTTTGACAGTTGGAACGCGTTACCCAAGGATATAGTGCTAGCTTCATCTATTGTAAGTTTTAAATCCAAATATATATAAGTTTTGGTTTATTAATTTTGTATGATTTCAAAAAATTCAATAAACACTTTTCATTGTGAAACCTGGTGTGATACGATTACTTCAAGCATAATCCTCAATAGGGATGCCGTCGTCACGTTTCCGACAGCGAGGGAAGTACTGTCTAAACTCTTTAGACCAATTTTTTGAGAATGGGAATTACTTTCGAGTTTTTCAAAACTGACGAATAAATACCAGTTTAAATGCACTCGAACGAATTAGACATAAATTCAAAGGCGGTTAAGAAAACAAATGAGCGCCGGAACGGAACAATAATGAAAGCGCTTTCCATTACTTAATATTGCTTTAGAAAGGTGTGTATGTAAGTTTTGCCGTTGCAGTTTGAGTGGAAATTTTTAAGTGTTGTTTAAAATGTAAATAAATGATTCTGATTTCGTGGTGTTGGTACATCCATTTCGTAACATGTCTTTAACTGTCGGCTTACAGTACAAATTACTTTTTTTTTTAATTTTGGCAAAGTGTTTGTACCAACCATGTGATCTGGTATGTTTCGGTTTCTGTCTTGGTCTGTCACACTGGATTTACGCAGGTAAAAAATGTTCGCACTTCTTAGCATTTTAGGGGCGAAAACAATACCTGCGTAAATACAGTATGTCGGACGTCGATAGAAATAGAAACATAACGTTCTACAACACCTTGCCAAAATTAAAAGAAATGTATACAGGTTCATCTACTGTTTATACGAGTACCTGGTCGTAGTCTGTTATGCCAGGTATTGGTTTCAAAAATATTAGACGGAGATCTTTATTTTTCCATTCTATGCGCTGTGAAATTAAAAAAAAAGAACTTGTGTGAAAATTATCGTCTAAAAATATTATATTTTTGTACAAATGTATAAATAAAGTTAAATATAGTGCAAACCAGCATCTCATATTATGCATTTCAATTGAGATTTACTCAAATAAATTTTAAATAACACCATCCACGAGTTTTTTTGAAGGGGATGGGTAAGCTAATTTTGGTGGGTTTTTAGCGACTACAAACTACTTGAAAGTAAATTTTAAAACGAAACACAAAACCTGTGCCTACCAAAAATTTCGTGAGGTCATCTTAAAATGACTGCTATGTTGAGTATAATATACTTCGAAAGGGTGATCAAAAAGTTTTCAAATTAGAGTTGGCCATGGAAATATTTGTCATATTTTTGATTAAACTGTTTTTTTAAAGGTTATGCATGACTTTTACAGTTTAATCAAACACATGACAAATGTTTCTATGGCCAACTTTAATCTGAAAACTTTTTGAGCACCCGTACTTGTAATTTATATATTAATACGACAAATGAGAAGAATTCATCTGTTCAACTCTTCCAAAAACTTCACTCACGCCCTTCGAAAACTTTGCTAGGTAAATCTCGCTTGAAACTCATTGTATGACATGATGTATCCATGTTATTTTATTATTATTAATGACACGTATACAAAAAAAAATATTACTGACCTTCCAGAATTTGGGGAACATCACTTGAACCGTTTGTGATTTAATTAATAAAATTGGTTCACTCATTATGTTTTTAACATCCTAAATAAATAATTGCAAAAAATAAAAACAAAAAATACTACTAAATTGTAAACAACCAAACACAATTTTTAATATATATTTTAATAAATAATTTTTAACAGTTGTTTTCAAATCATTAGATCTTGTCAAAATAAAAAAAAAATCGTTTCGTAGTTTCTAAGATAAACCATAAAATTTTCTTGCAGAAATCTTAAATTTTACTTCATATCTTTTATTTTATTATGTAGATGTTATGATAAAAAAATTATAAAATTTTCGGAAACAACTTTTATAGTAATTTATCGAAGAAACTGGACTCGTTTGATGGTGCTTCATTCAGGTGCGAAGGAAATTTGGTCTTTGAACTTTGGAGCAGGTTTTAGTGTTTGCGAAGCAAAATCATTTTGCTTATGTTTAAGTAAATATGTACATATATGCATAACTAGACTATTTATTTTTGAGATACAACCATTCTTTTCTTTTTTTTTATCTCTGATTAATATTCTACCTACCAGAGGGCATCCATAAAACATGAATCACTTATCTAAAAAAATGTGCAATTACCTGTTTGAACTTTGAGTAGGTCAATGCCAAGTAAAACAAAATTTGACCATCAGACCGATTTAATGAAGTACAGATAATGAGTCGACAGTTCGTTAAAATAATCTTAGTCGTTTTTTAAGTAGTGGAAAATGCGAGCAATGCCAACATCGCAAAGGACATTTAAAACCCGCAAGGTTGCTGCCCTGTTATTCTTAAAAATTACAGCCAAAATTTAGTCGTTTTAGTGAATGCCAACACGATGCTTATTTGTCTGTTGGTACTATTAGTAAGTGTAACTTTCAATGAAGCCATTTTTACTGACGAAAGGTGGCAAACTGTGCAAAGAAATTTTGAAAAATATGCCCATTCAACACATAAACCATTCCCTGAAACATATGCAGATTTCGGTAAGTCAATGTCTCTGAAACATCGAAATAGTTCCAAAATTCTTCTCGTAGATTACGATTTTATAGTCGTCGGATCCGGTTCCAGCGGTGCTGTAGTCGCCAGTCGCTTATCAGAAATTTTTTCTTGGAAGATCCTTCTTTTGGAAGCTGGAAATTCGGGCAATTTCCTTACAACGGTACCACTTTTGGCTGCCCTTTTCCAGTTAACGCCTTATAACTGGAATTACACCACTGAACCCCAGGAAGGTGTTTGCCTAGGCATGGTAGGACAAAAATGTGCTTGGCCAAGGGGAAAAGCTCTTGGTGGTAGTAGTGTTATCAACTACATGATTTATACCCGTGGGAATCCGAAAGATTACGAGAAATGGTATAATTTAGGGAATGATGGGTGGTCGTACCCTGACGTGCTTCCCTATTTTAAGAAGTCGGAAAATTGCAAACTCGGGAAAGAGTGTTCTAATGGGTACCACACTCAAGGAGGATTGTGGTCAGTGATGTATGCTTTCAAATCGAGAATTACAGAGGCCTTCGTTGAAGCTGGAGTCGAAATGGGGGGGAAAATCGTCGATTATAATTCTGAAGATTTCATGGGATTTTCCCCTTTTCAAGCGAATATTAATCGTGGGCGGAGACACAGTGTTGCGGATGCGTTTCTTTACCCTTTTGTTACACGTAAAAACTTGAAGATCCTAACATCCGCCCGAGTCACGAAAGTGTTGTTGGATGATACAGGAAGTGCATATGGTGTCGAATTTCAAAAAAGAGGGAAAACGTACATTGCTCGAGCTTCTAAGGAGGTGATTCTTTCAGCGGGTACTTTCAATTCCCCACAACTTCTAATGTTGTCAGGGATTGGTCCCCGTGAACATTTGTCTGAGTTGGGGATCCCTACCGTTAGGAATCTACCAGTTGGTCAACGGCTTTATGACCATATAGCGTACGTCGGGTTAGCATTTAAGATAAACGAAACTGTAGAACCACCAGAGGCTATTTTTAACCCAGCGGAAACCTTCAAGTGGGTGTTTAGCGGCACCGGAGTCTTCACAAGTCTGGCTGGTGTCGAAGCACTAGGATATATAAATACAGGGTCCATCCCAGACCCTAAATACCCAGATATAGAATTAATTTTCGCAGGTGTGGGTTCTTTAGAGAGTGATTTTGGGCTGGTTGTAGCCAACGAGCTTCGCATTAAACGTGAAATCTATAATGCTGTCTTCAAATCTTTGGAACTAACTCCTGCGTATACCATTATGCCGATGCTTCTTCACCCAAAATCAAGAGGTTATATGAAACTAAATTCCAAAAATCCCTACGATCGTCCTTTGTTCTACGGCAACTATTTCTCTGATCCTGAAGGCAATGATATCAAGACCTTGTTAGCTGCTGTACGGTATATACAAAAAATGAGTCAGACTACACCTTTTCAGAGGTTTGGATCAAGAATACATGATACTCCTATTCCGGGTTGTGAGGAGTTTGTTTTTGATTCTGATGAATATTGGTTTTGTGCTTTGAGGACTTTGACTGTGAGTTTACATCATCAGATAGGAACTTGCAAAATGGGTCCAAATAGTGATGAAGAGGCTGTTGTTGACGAGAAATTGAAAGTTCATGGAATCAGCGGTTTAAGGGTTATTGACTCTAGTGTAATTCCTGTGACGTTGTCTGCTCATACAAGTGCACCAGCTGTGATGATTGGAGAGAAGGGAGCGGATATAATTAAGCAGGATTGGGGGGTATTGTGAAATTTCGGGAAGAGAGAAAGGGAAATGAGTGCGAACAGATGAAATTAGCAGTGTCTATGTAGTGAAGTGTAAAACAATGATTCCCCGTTTATAAAATCAAAGTCTTTAGTCTGTATTTGTGCCTGTGGTGTCTCCTTTTCGAAGTGACCACCTAGATATTGTACCAAAGTAGCAATTTGCAAAAAAAATCCTTTATGCGTCATATTTTATTGATATGGTTAAAGATGTAGTATATATACAACACACTGTTGGACAAAATAAAGCAATAAATCAACTTTTTTAAGAAACTTTCAAGTTCATCGAGTTAACTTAATTATTGAGTTAGTGTAAGTGAAACATTTTCTTCTCTATTTGAGCTGTTTGTTGTACAAATTTAATTAACTTTTCCTAACCTTCGTTGTACAAAATATTCAACATTGTAAAAATGTAGCAAACATCTCTACAACAAAAATAAAGCAACAAGTGCACATGCCATTTTTTATTTCTTCATAATAAAACCAAGAAAGGAAAATAACAAAAGCAAGCGATGACATTAGTTTATTTAAGTTACTAATCGATGATATATCCATTATTTTGTATAATTTTTTCACATCACCGGAGAGAGTTTTCCATACTTTTTGGATTTTTGTTGGCAAAAATTGTTTTTTCGTGAATACGGAAGTTCTTATTCGTCGCTTCACTTCCTCCCACAAGTTTTCAATTGGATTTAAGTATGGCGACTACGCTGGCTACTTCAAAACGTGGATGTTGTTTTCTTGGAACCACTCTTTAACAATTCGTGTAGCATGTTCTGGATTGTTATCTGGTTGAAAAACGAAATGTAAGGGCATTTCCCACTCTGCCTAAGGTAGCATAACATTTTGAATATATCCCTTTACACGAAACGATCCATAATTTCATTAATGACGTGTAGAGGCCCGACGCTATTCCAAGAAAAACTTCCCCCATTGGAACACGCTACCTTTGCCATATTTTGTAGGAGTTACTTACTTAGGATTAAATCTAGTAGTAATTGGGCGTCTTCGTGCTTCATTCTGTCAGAATTAAATGTTTTATAGCGAGTTCCATAAAAAAAAAAATCCAATCATCAACTGACCGGTTTAAATGATTACTTGCAAATTCAAGTCTAGCGCGTCTGTTTTTTGCAGAAATAAGTGGTGTTTTGACAGGGCATCTACTAAATAATTTAGCTTCGACAAGTCTTCGCTGCACTCTCCTCATACCGACTTGTGGTTCAGTAATTTTAGTAAATATTAATATTTTGCAATGAAATTGTCCAATACTTGAATATGTATATAGGGTGAGTCACTAAGCGCCCGCTTGTTGATATCTCATTAATTATTGGAAGCAGAGGAAAAATTCTAAAACTAAACTTGTTCGCTTTTTTAGATATTATATATGTATTAATAGTATATTATACGCCAAGGTAGTGAAGACAATCATTATCGACCGAACACAGATTAGATTAGATTATAAGCGTGAGGTCTATAAAGATCTTCACTACCGTGGCGTATATACTATTTTTTTCACTAGTAGCGCACTAAAAAACACAGATTTGTAAAATTTTCAATTTATTAAAAGTAACGTAACAGCACTGATATCACCTGACAAGTATTGATACTTTCCATCATCATTTGCCACGTTTGAAAAAGTTGTTTTGTAATGAGGTTTGTAACTGCAAACTGTCCATTAATTTATGTAATTTTTCTTAAGTTACTTACAGTTACTATGTACCCCTCCCGAGATGCTGATATGGCAGATAACACTTTTATATTCCTCGTGAAGATGATTTCAAAAATCTGGTAATAATGGCCAATTTTCGTTTGTGAAGAATTCCATAACCTAAATCTTTATTATTAACCTTAGTCAATAATAACTTCACTTCCATTATTAACCTTGGTGAAATCTAATTATCATTATTGACTTTGGTAGAGAAAAACGAATTCAGAACTCACAGACAAGCATGATTATGCTGCACTTTTACGCTACTAGTTAAAAAAAAAAAATAATTCAATCATGCAGTACTGTATCGTATTCTGTTTTGTTCTCTTTCTATTTTGTTTAGAACATCACGTATTTTGTTACTGCATCTTATTCTGTTTTGCCCTCTTTCTTTTTTGTTTAGTATTTTGTATAGGTATAGTTGATAGTCATTGAGATTTTTAATTTTTTTAAGGGACTCATTATCATATTAAGAAAAATACAAAAAAATGGAGTACGAAGCAGGAATGAAATAAAAAGGTGTTCTATTTGAAAATCGTAAAATTAATTTTTTATAAACACTGTATATTAAAATTTAATTAATTGATACCATAACAAACTTTTCACAAAAAATTGAAAAAAAAAAATCTTAAAAATAATGTTGCGATTTTTTTGTGAATTATTACATTGCTACAAAAATAAAAAAACATTGGTCCAAAGTTGTTTCGACAGAACTTCCCTCGCTCCTGAAGTACTATGAAACATATCCAGTATTTTCGAAAAATTATAAAATTTGTTCTTGCGGATTTTTTTTATGAGAACCCCTATAAGTTGTATTAAATATGTAAGTATATAATATTAAAGTAAATATAAGAAGCTTGCACGCGTATGTTTTAAATAAGTTTTTCTTTACAAAATTTTGTGATGACGTCATCAACATTTTAGCAAAAACACGAATTTCACTTTGGATAGGTGAAGTGTAATAGTAATGATAACAACATTGTTTCAGGAAAACGGAGTGGGCCGTTCCCGATTTAATCAATAAAATATTGTCTCATTCATTAATTTTTATGAGTCATCCACTATAACAAGTTTAAAAACTTTTAATACAATGATAAATCAGAAATACAGAGTCATCACATTTGAACATTTTGGATAGGATTTATTCGGCAAAATTTTGAGATGACGTCATCAATTTTTGGGAGGGGATAAATGAATAAATTTTGGTTAACGATTTATCATGATTCGGATAACCTTAAATATTTACAAGATTTCAGAGCAATCGGTTTTCCAATTTCAAAGTTATACTACAAAATATTGTTATTCAGTTGTGAATTTTTTCCAAAAATTTTGGATCTATAGGGTGAAAATTTGACACAGATTCACACACCGCAAGTGCAGGAGTACCTTATTTCATGAAATTAAAAAACAACTTATTATAAATTTTGGAGATGACGTCATCCCGTTGGTGGTGGGGATGATTAGCCAAATTTTGGTTGGCGTTTAACCATCTACATGATACTTATAATATACATACAAAATTTGGCAACAATCGGTTCAGCAGTTTCGGAGATTACGTGTCTAATAGAACTGGATACAGACCGACAGACATACAGATAAACAGACATACGGAAACGGGAGACTACTTTTTTCGTAATGTATGGGTCATAAAACGTCGAGAAAACGTAAAAGTAAAAAGTCGGCCGACGGGCTGGATTACAGTACTTCCTTTGCTTACACTCAGGAAGTAAAAATTAATTTTTTAACATTATTCGATAATAATTCCGGGATGTCATTTGTCAAACGAGACACTGAATGTCCTTCGGAGCTCTGTAATTTCAGATATTTTTATGTTGGCTACAGAGTGTTTTTTCCAGGTTTTTTCCACACTGTAACCCACTGACAGTGTGTGAAAAATTGTAGATACCAAAAATATACAAAATCCCCAAAAACATTATTTATGATACAGGAGGATAAAAAAACATTTACATGCTTTCAAGCTTCAACGCTTTTACTTTTAAATTTTGACAACCACAACTTCACAAAAGAAAAATTCAGTACAAATTTAGATGCAGAATTTGGTAGCAAACTCTTAAGTTTTCATCAAAATTTCCAGGTTTTAAACGGGAACTACAACATTGTTACGCAGCGGAAAATTTAGTCTAACCTTGGTAAATTATTTGAGCATACATAAGAAGTTATAACCATAAAGCCCTTCCACTAGAGGGGCAGATACCGGAAACGTAATACATTACAATTAGGGTTTTGTCAGGTTCCCATGCAACAACGTTTAGAAAGTACAAAAAAAACCTCTTCAAACTACTTAACATTAAGTTAATTTCACAATGTTATAATAGTCAACAACAAATGTGGTGACCGCTGCAAAAATTCGAAGTGGCAGTACAACTACAAGAGCAAATCGTGAAAATTACAACCAATGGTTCTTCAGCGATTTTCTTGCAGCTTCAAGAAACTAGAAGATGCGAACGTAAAATGGACATCTCACAGAAATTAATAATGTCACTATTAGGCTAATAAAACCAAAATAGTTTAGTTCTAACCAGGACAATCGACAGTTGAAGTTTCCTTACTAAAAAATGATTCTATTAGTTACATACCTACTATCGGCAGTATCATCGGAAGGTGGGCCAAATGAAGATTTTACAGCTTAAAATGTGCAGTGTTGTAGATTGAATGTGAATAAGCATCTTAAAAACACTTGTAAATGCAATCTACTATGAAAACTGGCCTGGAGAAGACTTCACAGTTTCATTAGGACTAAAGTGAGTATCAAAATTCGAAAAGAATTACTCCACAATTGTCTAAGAACCAATAACCTCTACTCCTGACAAACTCTTTTAGAATAAAATCCAAATTTTTAGAGCATTCATTTTCAACAAAACAACTTCATGAATTGGTTTTGATCCTACTCCAACCTATACTAACGTGCTGCCGTTCTATAATTTCCTCTCCAATTTTGGTGATTTTTATGTTTTTCGGTGGTTTGTCACTCAGTTTTATCCACGCCAGGTTACAAATATTTAGTAACGGATTTTGGCTGTTATTGATCAGAAGTTTCCTTGTTGTGAGGGTTATGAATGGGAAAGCGATAATTACTGGAAATGTGGAAACTTCCACACATATTTATGTTGTTGGGGTTGTTTGAAAATTCCCAACCCGTAAAACAAGAATAAGAGAAGAATAATTTGTTAAAGTCATAGGACACAACAAGCAACATCAAACAAGTTATATTATCTACAACTGGCGACCACACGAGCACATTGTAAAAAAATGCGGAAATTTGCAACATCAGTTTATTTATATTTCCCGTCCCGGTACTAGGTCTAATATATATATTATAATATACAACGTTTATTATGTATTGTAGGTCCATATATCTAGTTTTAATTAAATAAGTTACTCTTACCAATTATTGTAATTTCAACAATAATCTCATACATACATATACCTATGTATTAACAACGTCACAACAATATGATTACACCTCCTGCGTTAGTTTATTTCAAAAATATTCGTCATCCTCATTAGTTAACCATTAAGCAGGTGCAAGTGGTACAACAAACTAAAAGTAGAACAGCACATCATTTTACTGGGAAAATGACTAGATTCAAATTATCTTACCCACCACTTTTTTAATTTTCCAAAAGTGAATGAACTGAAAAAACCTGTATAGATATAATTTATAGGTGCTGATATACCCACAATGTGAAAACTATTTTTAAAGTAAATTCAAATATATATAATTGTGGTTTCTGGTACTTCCCGGGGTACTTCAGTTAATGTTTTGTTTGACAAATAAAATAATTTTGACAAAATCACCGGCCCGTTTTACGTTTTTCGCTTGTCACTTGTTAGTTATTATTATTTGACTACGATTATATTTAAGTAATTAACTCAATATGAACGAAAATTTGTTTGAGAACATACTATCATCACAATTATTATGATTAAACGTTTATTTTATCGCGTTAGTAAACCGGGTTTTCATTGGACGAGCAATAATTAGTACAATCGCGCAAACTCTGTTGAAAGCGTCATGAATTCATTAGTATCCATAAAATGTATATTTCATTTATCTTCTCAAAAAAGGAACAGTAGAACACCGTAGCGCAAATGTTCTAAACTTGGTGCTAAATAAATTGAATGAAAATCACGGAATATGTTTCCAGTAGTTTCGACGTTAATTTTTTTGGAAATGTTGGTAACACTATCCTTTTCAAGAGTAAGTGAAGAAAACATTCGCGAATTTCAAGCTGGAGTCGACGCTCTGATAAAAGAATCACAAAATTACACCTTTGAAGAAAAGAATTTTGACACCAATTTGCACGTGGAATCTGGTGTGCAAATATTCCTTTCACAAATTAAACACTAAACTTAAATTTTCAGATCCAAAACACTACGACTTCATTATTGTTGGGGCGGGAGCTGCCGGTTCGGTTATAGCAAACCGTTTGAGTGCAAAGCACTACAAAGTATTACTCTTGGAGGCCGGAGGACCAGAAACGCCATACACCCAAATTCCAAAATTAGGTCACTTCTTGTACAATACTGGTTACAACTGGGGGTATTTAACGACTCCTCAGAAACACATATGTAGAGGTACATATAAACGGCTGTAATGAGTAACAACTAATTTGATTAGCACAGGAATGATTGATAACAAGTGCGATATGGCCGCTGGAAAAGCCCTAGGTGGTAGCACCGCCATCAACAACATGTACTGCACCAGAGGTAACCGTGAAGACTACAATAAGTGGGCGGCTATGGGCAACCACGGATGGTCCTACGATGATCTTCTTCCTTACTTCAAAAAACTAGAAGACGCATTTGTGAAACCCTTTGATCCTGTATACCGTCATCGTGGAGGGCCTTTTCACATCGAGCATCCCCGGTATTGGACCGACATTACTAACGGTTCTTTAAGTGCCGGAAAAGAACTCGGATTTGACAACATAGACTTCAACGCTAAGGAACAGTTTGGAATGGGCCGAACCCAACTCAGTACAAAACGTGGAAAAAGACACAGTACAGCACAAGCGTATTTAGTACCAGCACGTAAAAGGCCGAACTTGGTAATTAAACCGTTTAGTCACGTGACCAAACTTTTGATTGATTCTGAAAGCAAGGAAGCAACTGGTGTTGAATTTTTCACGAATGGCAAACTGTACGCAGCTAAAGCAGAAAAAGAAGTTATTCTATGTGCTGGTGCTATCAACACCGCCCAGATTTTGAAACTATCGGGAATTGGACCGAGGGAAGAACTTGACAAATTGGGCATTCCTGTGGTGGCTAAGCTAAACGTGGGGAGACGTTTCAAAAATCACGTGTCCTTCTTAGGCCTGGGTTTAATCTATAAGAACACTACACTTGCCAAAGAAGATGAAACAGCCGAAATAATTGAATACCTCCAAAAAGGAAAAGGTCCTCTCAGTGTACCCGGGACTGAAACAATCGCTTACTTCAAAACCGGTGCATCAGGTCACAAAAGACGTTACCCCGATATCGAGTTCTTCTTCCATAACGAAAATCCAGCCATTACAGCAAAGTCTTTCAGATTTAAGCCTGAAATTTTAGAAAGTTTCAAATCCCTAGGCAACAAAAGAATTTTGGAAATTGGAGTGATGTTAACACATCCTCAGTCAACTGGGACTGTCCTTCTGAAAGACAAAGATCCTTTCCACCATCCTTTAGTTGATCCAAATTCACTTTCGGATCCTGATGACGAAGACTTCCGTACTCTTCTCGCTGGTATCAAGAAGGGGCTCAATTTCGCTGATACTGAAGCTTTCAAAAAGATGAATTTAGTTGTTAATAAGTACAAAATTGCTGGTTGTGAAGACCATGAATGGGGAAGTGATGACTATTGGAAGTGCGCTATTAAGCTACTCACCGTTAGTGTGCACCATGTCACGGGTACTGCAAGAATGGGTCCAAAATGTGATAAGGATGCTGTTGTTGATAATAAGTTAAGTGTGTATGGGGTAGAGAAGTTGAGAGTGGCTGATGCTAGCGTTATTCCTATTACTATAAGTGGACACACAATGATTCCGAGCATTATGATTGGGGAAAAAGCATCAGATTTGATTTTACAGAAGTGGAAAGCGAAAGGGACTCCACAGAATTAAGTTTTGGTCCAAGGGTTTTATTGTAAACAAGTATACAACATTTTTAAACCAGCGGTATTTAAACTAAAAAAGTTTTCTCGGTATTCTAATGTTCAAATTGTTTGAAATGTAATTTATACACGGGGTGAGTTACTAAGCTCATGATCCTCCAGATCTCATTAATTATTATTACTAAACATAGGAAAAAAAAAGTTAAAGATAAAAATTGAGTAGTTTTTAAGTAAGTGCAATGCACTAAAATTATTTTCAACTGTCAACTCTGTTTTTCAGGGACATCATCCACCTTACCTTGTATATTATATATTTTTACATACTCTGATTTGCCTCGCCGTAGACTTTATAACTGTGGTTTATTTTTGAAATTTGTATGCAATGTTGCCACGTTATTCCAATTTTCCTCAAATTTTGTAGCAAAAGTTAAAAAAAAAATTATAATCGGATTATTTTTAAAATCTTAAAATTTCAAGATAATTGGAATAACATGGCAACGTCATCAAGATGTCAAACATAAACTAAGGTTTTAAAGCTTTGCGAATATATAAAAATATGCAGGTGTACCTACTATTTAAAGTTACTAAGTTGTGTATTATGTCTCAAAAACACAATACTCGGCTTATTTGAAAATAAACTTCGTGTATGATACACAAAAAACTTTACCCTTCGACTTATTATTTTAAATAATTATTGAGATATCCAGAAACGTGCGATATGTGTAAACATATTTATATTTATATTGCTATCCATTGCATATTAAAAATAAAATCACAAAAAATCATAACAGAAGATGTATATTTCATTAAAAAAAAGTGTAAAAAATAATGAAATACCACAAATGCTAGTGCATTTTAGAGTAAGCCGAACAAATGTCAAAAGATAGAAATGCAGTAGCACGTATTGAAGTGAACTTGAGGCCGAAATATGAAGGTGAGAGAACTTATTTCTTCCATATCTTTAAAGACAGTCACGTTTCCTACACCTCTTAGACATTCTAAAATTGTATATTCACTACTTTCTTTTGTGACACCATCAATCGTTTTTAAACAGCAATACTTTTTTAATAGATACTTAAAACACAAAACATTGAGTACAGTAATGTTTAAAATATGAAGCAATCAAGCAGAAAAAAGAATTTAATCATCCAGGAAAAACTTTGTTAATCAATGAAAATTGAAATCTGATAATATTTTTTTATTTCAACCAGCTTTTACACAAACCACAGACATTTGAGAAAAATTTGTTTAAAAAATTTCACTACTACATTTAAAATTAAAAATTTCTCAAACAGTAAAAACATAAAAAAAATTTGAAGGTACCATCGCACTTTCCCACCAAACCATGTAAATAAAATTGCCATTTAAAGAATACTGATTATGCCACAGTTTTGACAAGGACAACAATGATATTTTTATGGCCAACTGCATGATAATATTGTCGTTATGGTAATACTTAGCAGCCGAAATTTAATAGATTATTATGGACTAGTACCATAATGATAAAGTAAAGAGGCCACCTGTCAATGTCAATAATTTATTCAAATTAAACAAAAAACCTAATAGTAATTATTATTAATAGTAATAACACAACTGATATTGTTCGCAATGCCCACAGGTTGTTTTATTTGTGGTTCTTCTTTTGTGCAGTCGCTGGCTGCCCTAAAATTTTCTTTGACGTAAATTTGTCTCATTGACAACTCCATAGTGTGACTAGATCTTTATTTTTTTTCATTTTTGCATTTTCGAAAAAATCTTTAATAATCATTGCAATCGGCCATAAAAGCTTTGTATGTAATTTGTACACAAACTGGCCTTATTGCCGCGCTTCATTTATCGACTCGGTCGCTGCGTGCCCTCATCTAATAAAAATCGGCTCGGCCATAAAGACCTAGTTTGTGTACTTATTACATAAATAGCTATAATAACCATCAAAAAGTTTACGTTACTATAACCACCTTTTTATGCTGATTTAAAGTGAGCAATAAAATAAATAAATGTTCATAAAAAAAAACATGCCCCACAATTTGACAAAATCAGCTATAGAATTTCAAATTTGTTCTTAAAATATAGCAAGCGTAGTTAGTTTGACGTCCGAAGGTCCAAATTTTACTAAATTTTCACGTCCTGCAATTTTTTCTACATACTGAAATATGTATGAAGTTTTTATTCTACCATTAAATTTTTCAATTTATCTAAAACACCAATAAATTATTCCCTTTTGGAGTTTAAAATATTTTATTATGTGATACTGCAACACATGTTTCGGTACACAGTATACCTTTGAGTAATTCAATATCATCTGAAAAGATCCTGTGTATCAAAAAACGTGTTGTTACTACAATACATGTTTCAGTTTGAAAAACATTTTTTATTGTGTGATACTTAACACAATAAAATATGTATTTCAAACTCAGAAAATATTTTACTTAATTAATTAATTAAATTAATTAATGTTAATTCTTAATACAAAAAATTTGGTCGAAAGCTATTTCGACAGGACTTCCGTCGCCCCCGAAGTGCAGTGTCACAAATCCCGTTTCTTTGAAAAATTAAAAACATTGATTTTGCGAATTTGTATTCAATAAAACAAATACAAGAGTATGCTGTTTTATAAAATTTATTATAAACATTTTTGAGATGTCATGACATTGATAGGGAGATTGGGCAAATTTTGGTTAGAGTTACATCTACACCATATTCTTAACACACATATAAAATACAATAGGTCCGGTAGTTTTGGAGATTATCTGCCTAATAAAACTCTGAACAGACGTACACAGACTGAGCCACGAGACCTAATTTTTTATACTCTATGGCCATGAAATGTCTAGAAAACATAAAAGTAGCTAGTCGCGCCCCGATTGATTCGATTACAATACTTTCTTTGCTTACGCTCACGAAGTAAAAATAAAATTCGCAAAATTAAATTTTACAATTTTTCGAATATATTGTCGACGCGTTTCACCAACCACGTTGGCATTATCTATTCATGCTTACAATAACTTCAAAACATCAAGATTTCAAAGTATTCAGTTTTGCAATTCTTGATCTAATCTAAAAAATAACTTGACTCAGTCATTAATTTTTTCAGACACCCCGTATAAGCAAATCTAAAAAATATTAATGCAGTGATAAATCACAAGTATAGACTCATCATGCTTTGCACATTTAAGATTTTTTCAACAAAATTTTGGGGTGGCGTCATCAATTTTTAAGGGGGGAATGCAAATATACTTTGATCATTTGATTATGATAACTTTAAGAATTTAAAGCATTCGGTTTTGTAGTTCCTGATTAAATCAATTAAATAAATTCACGCATTCATTAATTTTTTTGAGTCATCCTGTATATGTAAATCCAAAAAATATGAATGGAATGATAAATCACAAGTACAGACTCATCATATTTTGTACATTTTAGATAGGATTTACAGCAAACTTTTGAGCGACGTCATCAATTTTTTGGAGAAGATAAGTAAATATATTTTCATTAAAAATGTATCATGCTTATCATAACTGTAAACCATCTGCAAGATTTCAGAGCATTCGGTTTTGCAGATTCAAAATTAAATTGCAAAATGTTGTTTCATAATTTTGATTTTTTTTTCAAAAATGTGGACGTTTCGGGTAAAAACTCAATTCGGACTCATCAACTTCATGTGTAGGACTATTTTATACAATTGAAAACCCATTTACGCAAGGTCTGAATTTCTTACTAAATTTTTAAAGGAGTTCGTTATGTGACTTTGACGGGAGTTTGTATAATTGGTTTCTATATTTTTTACGATCATCTGCATGCTTAAAATTAAAAATATGGATCGTATTTTGTATCACGCAAGGGTCGCAAGTATGTCAAATCGTTTATGTATAATCAAAAAAGAAATCTAAGGGGTGTAAAATTTGGACTGCGAACTGACCATGGAGTAATGTTTTTCAAAATAAAAAAAAACTCTTCGGCAGACAACAAAGCAAATTGGTGTAGTCCAAGATTTCTGACGTTAAAAGTTAGGAACAGTATAATTGTGTTTGTCTATGTATTCTACGACTATATATGTCTTCATTTAGACAATCTGTATATAAATGTTTTATATTATTGTATTTCTAATTTAATGATTTATCAAAATGCGGTAAAAGGTGTATATTGCAACCTAAAATATATATTTGTGGCGCGACACCGATGCCATATGTGCATATTTGCATGATAGTATATTTAGCTTTCCCCTTTAAGCTAAAAACAATCGCGTGTACAGAATTTCAACGTTGCTATCTGTTCTCAAGATATAAGGCCGCAGATGTTTTTGTGAGACACTCTGTAAATGTAAATAAATATTCAAAATATTGTAAGTATTCTTAATTGTTATTCTTGCTTGAGGGTAATGTGGAGGTCTTTCACCGTAGTTGGAGGCAAAAAAAAACAAACGGTATATCCAAACGAGTCTGAAGAATCTGCCAAGAGTACGTTTTTATTGTATTCAGAACCTGTATTATTTACTATACGCTATAAAGAAGAACATTCAAACTTCTAGTGTCTTATGACCTGAATCTCTAGCAAATATTCTCATTAAAATTGGAGTTAGTAAGTACTGATTTATTTATTGCTGATTAAGTGATTAGTACTCAACGAATCACTAACTTCAATTTTTAGTGATTACATTTCAAAATATTTTAACATATTGTAAGTCACTAAAAATAATTAGTGTTGTCAAGTAAAATGTATCATAAAATGTCCATAGAGTTCTCCCTTTGCTGAATTTTTAACAGCTTACAACTGGTTCAGAGTAGCCTAGACGTTACAAGCACAAGGTACATGATTTGAATAGATTACCATACATTATGTCGTTGTGCTATTAGGTCTACCACGTGTCTGTTCTTTTGCTGTACCGGGTACTCAAAAAATGGCAAACCAATTCTATGACACGTTGTTCAGCACTGTATAGTGAGCAGAGAAAAAATAAGTTAAAAAAAATCCTTAAGCCTAAATGTAGAATATATGTAGCCCTTCGAATTTTTTTTTTTCGTTATTTCATATATTTCAATTCACTACTGGGTGTTGGGTACATGAAATTGATAGGATCGGATTGTAGATCATAAAGCGCTGACCAAAATTTGTCTGATCATCTCCACCATACGTCATACTCAAAATTTACAGTATTAAATGTATATAAAAATATCGAAATAATTTTTTTAAAGAAATATCCTTTAATTTAAAGCATTATCTTTAATAAAATCGACAAAAAATGACCTGAATGATAACTCTGAATATTTACTTAAACATAAGTCAACATGGGGTATAAAATTTAACATGAGAATTCCTATAGATATGTACTTTTAAAAAAGGTGCACTGTAACTGTACATTTCACGAAAAAAATCTTCTCTGGTTACAGAAGCGGGACAAAATTACATTTACGTAATATCATTCACAAAGCCCAGAAACAATAATCAAAAAGATTTCAAAAATTTTGAAAGCTGTCAGAAGGAGTCTATTATGCATTTTATATAAAAATAACGGGTGCCACTTTTGATAAGAAAAAGAAACTTTGCCTAAATCCAAACTTCCCCTTCCGTTTTCAAAAAAGGTTTTTAATATTTTCCACAAATTGCAGAAGGGCAGCACGTAATACATACTTACTATATCTCTATGACTGTATGACTCTAAAACCAAACTGATTATGTGCAGTAAATTTCGTAGACTCAAAGTAATTTGAAAATTTCTTGGCGAGTATTGTTTCCAAGTTTATAGAAAATGAAAGCAGTAAAGAGATTGCTCTGTAATAATAATTGCTCAGATCATTGATCTCTCTTTTTGAAGACTAGAGTAACAGTCCGTCCGGCTATCGAAGAGCGAGTGATCCCCTCCAGCCGGCGCACCAGTTCGGTCCCCCTTTTTCTGCAGCCGCCCACGACTGACGTCGCGTGGATATAAATTCGCTCCGTTGTCCGCAAAAAATTTAGAATGTGCCTCAGCATTAACAGGTGCACTCTGCCCCTCCCTCTCCCTTTCCGCCCTCTAGGCATTAACCCTAGGACTTCCCGCCATCAACCGCCGCTCCGTCTGCAGGCATCAACCGGAGGATTACCGTCCCGATCGACCATCCCCCAGGCATCAACCGAGGGATATCCCTTTTCGCCCTCAAGGTGTTACCTGGAGGATTTCCCGACATTCCCTAGGCATCAACTGGGGGATACTCCGCTCCGCCTCAAGTCATCAACCGGAGGATTCCCGTTCCAACCTACCGTCTCTCAGGCATCAACCGGGGGATATTACGTTCCGCCTCCAGGCATTAACCGGAGGATTACTGACCAACTTAGCGCCGCTCGGCATTAACCGCCGTCCACCGTTTATACCTAGATTGTATGCTTGAGTGTTGACTTCGAAGTCCTGAGAGTTACCATCTCCGACCGAAAAGAGAAAAAAGCTGTTAGAGTACTTACCTATCACCCTTGTGAGTGAACTCAAAATTGCATCTCCAATGGCTTTACGAATATCGACGCTTATTCCATACATATCCCTGTTTTCTAGTGAACGTCAATCGAGGAAAAGTTTAGGTCTGACGACCCTACATCAAACTGCAAATGAAGAACTTTTGAGGTTAAGGTCTTCTTGTCTCACTAGTTTATGGAGAACTATTACATTCAGTTTATGCAGGTCCTGATTGCAATCTGTCTGCAGACAGAAAAAAACTCATAAGAATCGCAAAGAAAAAAGAGTAAACAACTGATGCTCGTCTGGTTATCAGACCGGTTGTATTGAATAAATGGAACACAGCTTCACAAAAAAGAAAAATGGGGAAACATAAATATTATTGGCAGCGACAACGTTGTTTGACTGCCACTCTTGAAAATTTAGAATTCAGTTCATAATTTAGTTGTTCGTATAGTGAACCACGAGAATATGTTAAACCTTATATTTGTACTTTTAGTACGTATAGTGGCAGATGAAAGCGCTTCCCTAAACGAAAAACGCCGAATTATACGCATTCAGCTCCTAAATCACTGCCAGAAACATTGACAGATTTCGGTAAGTCATCATCTCAAAAAAACTAAAACATTTTCTCGCAGAATATGATTTTTTATAATCGTCCGACTTGGTTCTGACGGATAACCGTTTATCAGAGATCTCTTTCGGGAAATTCCTTATTTTGGAAACATAGGCCTCTTGTTTCCGTCTGATTTTTATTAGACAGATAATCTAAACTATCGGACCGATTATTGTAAAATTTTGTACGTACTACATTATTATATGGTGTAGGTGGTAAAATGCTAACCAAAATTTGTCTGATTATCCCCACCAACAATGTTATTTTTTATAAAATAGCATACTCCTCGACTTGTAGTTTATGAATGCGTGTTGAGTTTTTACTCTAGGTATCTAGATTTTTGTAAAAAAGTTAAAATTGTACCTATAACCACATTTTACAATTTGGCTTTGAAATTGCCAAACCGAATACTTTGGAAACCTTGCAAGCGTTTTAAGGTTATCGGAAACATGATAAATCCTATTGATATCCTTACGATATCCATAAAACGTTTGTAAGATTTCAAAGCATTCGGTTTTGCAGTCTCAGAGTTAAATTGCAAAACGTTGTTACACAATTTTAAGTTTTTTTTTTTTAATCTGCAGGTCTAGGATAATAACTGAAGCTGAATTTATAAATCACATATGCAGGAATATGTTGTTTTATAAAATTTAAATAACATTTAATCGGCAAAATTGTAAGATGACGTCATCAGCTTTTAGGGGGATCGTAAATGGATAAATTTTGATGAACGATTTACTATATTTCCGATAGCCTTAAAAAGTTTGCAAGGTTTCAAAGCATTCGGTTTTGCAATAATTTCAAGGTTACATTGTAAAATGTTATACAGTTTTGGTTTTTTACAAAAGTCTGGATGCCTAGGGTAAAAACTCAACAAGGATTTATAAACCACAAGTGGAGCAGTATGTTATATTATACAATTTAAATAAGGTTTACTATTGTAAAAGTTGGAGAAGACGTTATAGTATTGTTGGTAGAGATAATTAGACAGTTTTGGTCAGCGATTTATCATTTGCACGATATTCCTTATATACATACAAAATTTGACAACAATCAGTCCGGTAGTTTAGAAGATTATCGGTCTAATAAAAATCGACACAGACGACAAATGACGGACGGCAGACAGACAGAAACGAGCTACCAATGTTTTCGTATTCTAGGGGTCATAAAACTTTGAGAAAATATAAGAACAGCCAGTCGCCCGTTGGGCTTGATTACAATACTTCATTAGCTTTCGCTCGGGAAGTAAAAATTTGACATTTTGCATAAATATTTCTAAGTACGCTACTGCATAATTTAGTAACTAATTGATTCAACATTTTTACAATTATTACTACAAAAATTAAAAACGCAATTTGAAAAATGTAAATCTCCTTTTATTATTGAACAACGATTCTTCGTAGCTTTTGCTTCTTCACTGCTTTCATGCTTTTCTTTTATCTTTGTTTCCCTTTACTCCACATTCTCGTTACCGAAAATCTTCACAGCGATGATTCAGTTACTTTTGTAGATTCCCATCCACCATGCCGCTTAAGAGTGGTAATGTCGGCCCCTGAAACAGAAAATAGTATTTATACCTACAGGTTGGCAAGTACATCGGTCTCTAATATACAGGGTTATTCAGCTAAGATGACCCATTTATGTTTTTAAGATAGGCAACCCAAAATAACAATTCCACCTGAAACTGGGTTACAAAAAATGTTTCAAATTTAAATTGTATCAAAGTTTGTTAAATGTAGAAATTGTCAGTCAACGGCGGTGTCACAACACGCCTATGCATTCAATAACGAGAAAACCGACATGATCCTTAGTTATGGACGCGTTATGGGGAATGGCTCAAAAAGGCTGTACGCCTAGCCTTGCACCAAATTTCTCAATATCAATGTTGTCTTTTGCTCTTAAGGTAGCTTTGAGGATAGAATAACTATTCCGGCCATAAGGAACACGGCGCCAATTTTTTGGACTGTTAAAAGACAAAAAATTTAGCTTTTCAAAAACATTTTCTCGGATATTTTGCTATAATACATACTCGCATATTAAGATAAGTCAGGAGAACATCCTCTGTGACTTCCTCATTCCTTTTTTCGTTTTTCCACTGTTGAAAGTTAAAGTAGGTTTTCTCGTAAATTCCTTGGGACTTAGCAGGCGACAATTTTTGTCGCAGTTCTTAGCCTTTGTTAATTTTGTTAATGCATTATTACCACAGTAACCATCCATAGACATCTATCTCGCCTCAAATAAAACTGAACCAAAAACGTAATTATTTAAAAGAAATTTGTATTCTTGATAATATTCGGTTAGCGTTAGAAAAAATCTTGAAGATAACGCTAGTTTTATAGCCTTAAAAATCTCGTTCTATTAAATTCTCGCTCCCGCCGGTCGCTCGAGTTTAACTACAAACTCGATTTTTAAACTGTCTATAAAACTCTTGTTGTTTTAATAGCTGTAATATATAAAGGTGTTTATCCTGACTAACAGTCTGACTGATTCATCAATGCAGAGCCTAAACTACTGAAGCTAGAAACATGAAATTTGGACAGTGGGTACCTTTTGTGTTATAAGCGCTCACTACCAAAGGATTTTTGGAAATTCAACCCCTACGGGGGTAAAAGAGGGAATGAAAATTTATGTAGGAATTCCATGAGTTTTTAAGTTAGACGGGTTCATTGGGGAGGGGTGAGTGAACGGGGTGAAAAATGATGTCCTAATTGCGAAATTGACGCAAGGGGAGCTGAGCGAAACTCTTCTCGGTATTACATAAAAATTAAAATCGTATAATAACATTTTACAATTAAATTTTGAAATAGCAAATCCGAATACTTTGAAATCTTGTAAACATTTTAAGTTTATCAATAGTTAATCAAAATTTGTCTTTTTATTGTACAATAAAAAATACCTGTAATTTGAAAATTGTCTTTCATTTAATTATTTGTTGTAAACCGTATTATTGTTTTTCATGAGAAATTGTTACATTTTATCGTAACTGTTCGCACCAGTAACTTGCTTGTTTTTATTGCATTCACAAGCGGTAATTTAATGTAGATTGATTGTCTTCAAGGTCGTGCCGTCAATTTCCGTTACTCATCGCAGACAAGCGACCACAATCAGTCGTCAATTTAGATAAGATGAAAGTGACATAAATGAAACGTGACGAATACAAAATTCATACATTTTATTTTTTAATTAATACTATGAGTATATAAACACCGTGAAGTTCTTAATCGTGCAGCAAACTTATTTACGTATTATGCAAGTTTGCCTTCAGATTCAAAACTGTTTCAATGTCAAGTTACAACTTATATCACAAAAGAGTTCAATGATCCGTTGTCCAGTCTTCAATAATCATATGCGCAGCCTTTTCTCCTATCATCATGGATACGCCCATTAAATTTCCGGTAATTGATACAGGAAGAATACTAGCATCGGCCACCCTTAGCTTATGTATGCCGTGCACTTTCAATTGATTATCAACAACAGCTTCATGATCAGTTGCTGGTCCCATTCTTGCAGTGCCACTAACATCCTCAGTGGGTACCACTAAATACTTAACTGCACATTCCCAGTAGGAGTCAGTACCAAATTCGATACTATCGCAACCATGAATGGGGTGATGGTTGATGATCAAACCTGTTTTCCCAAAGGCCTTCGTATGACTAAGTTTGATCGCCTTATGAATGCCTGCTAAGAGTGTATGATAGTCAACTTCATCTTCGTCAGTTAAAAAGTGAGGCTCGATGATTGGGTAGTCCAGAGGGTTTGTGGTGTGAAGCTTGAGAACACCTTTTGATGCAGGATGGTTCAGTGTAACCAGCATTTTAACGTAATGGTGGTCTTCGAGGGGCTTCCAGATCGAGTCATAGTGAACCTTGGAAATCTTCATCCAGTTATAGTCTTCAATTTTTGGGTGCGATTTTGAAACAACTTGGAGTTCAATGTCTGGGTATTCAGGGTGTTCTTTGGAGACGCCAGTGTTGAGGAAAAGCAAACCTTCGACTCCAGGTGAGGTGAGAGGGCCTTTACCATGCTTGAGGTACTCCTCATACAGTTCGTGCTCTGACTTGTGTGGTACTTCATGCTCTTTGTAAAGAAAATCTAGACCAAGGAAGGTCGGTCGAACGTTAAGATTCAAACCCACGTGAAGATCTTTAACTAAATCAATGCTGTGCTTTTCGCACTCATCTTTAGGCCCAATCCCCGACAACAGCAAAATTTTGGCAGTATTAATGGCTCCTGCTGCCAAAATCACCTCTTTCTTTGCTTTAGCGACGAAGACTTTCCCGTCGTGCAAATATTGTACACCTTTTACCTCCTTCGTGTGCGTGCTAATCAAGATCTTCAAAACTTGCGCCAGAGGTTGGATTACCAAATTCTTTCTTTTTTCCGCACATTCCAGGTACGCGCTGGAGGCACTGAACCTTTGCCCACAATCGGTGCTCAGTTGGGGTATGCTTGCACCTAATTGGTGCTTGCCGTTGTAGTCTACGGCTTCAATATCCAATTCTTTGGCGCTCTCGAGGATGTGCTCACTCAAATGTGTTAAGTGTTGCGGGTGTTGGAGGTGTTGTAGGCCTCCACGATGATGGAGCTTTTTGTCGAAGGGTTCGAAGTTGGCATCTTCGATTTTTTTGAAGAAAGGTAGGACGTCTGACCAACACCAGCCTTTATTGCCCAAGTCCGCCCAAATGTCGTAGTCTAGTGGATTACCGCGGGTGTATACCATGGAGTTAATGGTTGAGGTACCTCCCAAGGCTCGCCCGGAGGGGATGGTACATTTGTGGTCGGTCATTGCTGCAAAGATTGGAAATTTGAATTATATTTGAGATAGATAAGATGATTTCGAGGGGATGGAAACAAGAAATTGGAAGTTCAAAAGCAAGTTGAGTATAGAAACGAATGGCGCAGCTGAGAAAAATTCAAATTTAGAACGTCAAATAAGTAAAACAATTATAAATTTTAGAACTCTGTGATGAGTAATGAGTGATTTTTACGTGCAGATAAATTCGAAAAAAAAAAGGAACATAAATATTTAGAGTAAAGAATCGTGTTTGAAATTCTTTAACCGCATAAACAAAAGGAATGTACAAACAACAGGAAGTATATATGTAGTTTCTATTTTCTTTTCTTTAGTGGTAAAAATTGATAGGGTTAATAAATAAGTTTAATAATTGAATTTTCAAAGAAACAAAATGTGTAAAAGCTCGCTCTAGGAAGCACAATAAAGATATGATCGAAAATTAGTTAGTACTTCCTGAGACAGAACAAATTGGTTGTGGTATCAATTGAGATTCGAAGTTTTTCTGGAAACTTTTTGTGACTAAGTTTTTAGCCAAAGTTACGTTAATAAAATGAAAATATTGTCAACTGTTGGTAATCAAAACTGGTGAAAATGGGACAGAGATTAGAGGGAGAATAAGCAAGAACGTATATGAAGTAATTACAATTGCTGCAATTGATAATGAAGAAGCAGAAGTGTTGAAAAAAAAGGTGACACATTTCATTAAGGCATTGAAAAATCGTTTCAAAGTAAATAAAATCAAATATTAATATGAGCAGGCTTAGTATGGAAACAATAAATACGAAGCACATAAAATCTGCGTAAAAAATGTTAAGAAAAGAGAAAATGTTAGAAGTGTTAAAATTGATGCGATATTTGAACTAATTGAAAGTTTTAAGAAACACTGATTTCAAATTAGAGAATATGTTCTAGAAAATACTGAGAAAGAGGTGACTATTGTACAGATGATCTTGATGATCTCCTCGAAAATTACATCTGAGAAAATGTTAAGCACATTAAAGAAACAAACGAAAAATTGTGCGTTAGAATACAAAATATGAGATTTGTCGTTGCTAAATGATGTTGTTCACAAAACTGAGCAAGAAAACGACGAAAAGCATATCTATAGAGTTATCGTTGGTTTATAAAAAGCGAAAGAAAAAATGTTTTAAATTTATTTATATAAAGCATACCTCGCTCTTGAAATAATCAGTTTTTGATGCATGTCAGTACATGTTTATTTTTAATTTTTCGAAAAGATTAAAATTTTAATTTTCATATACTCTAGAGTCGTAAACATAACGTTACGCTATGGTATTTACAGAATAACTCTACATAATTATAGAATAGCAGAACAATAAAACTGTAATAAAAGTAAATTTTTGTTAATGGTCTGTAATCATCAGAAAAATAATGACCAAATGAACTAAATTATTATGTATTTTTATAGGTTATGAATAGAATAAATAAATCAATGTCAGAAAGTGTACTAGAACAGTGCAAGAACAAAGTGAAAATTAAACAGTGTTCAAATGTTTTCGTTTTGGCTGCTGGCTGATGATAATAACTATGATTAACTAGGCATCTAAATTGGTTTAAAATTGATTTTCAGAAATGTTCCCTGATAGAATATCAATGAAGATGAGAATTATTAATACAGAATTAAATATTTTAAGGTTGCTATTAGTCAACAGATGAGAACTTGTCAAAATAATTAATTACAATAATGAAACCTTGAAGAAATAAATCCTGTCAAGTAGACCATGAAGGTAACTTGGCGAATTTGAGAAATTGTATTTAATTATTTCTCGTCCCTTTATTGTATCGATAATTTTGCTGAAATGTTTTTTTAAATGTCTTACCCAAACATGAGTAATTCTGTGGCGTTGTTCTAAAACCCCAATTAAAATGCGTATTCCTCAATAACTCCCAATTCTTCGGAACCCTTGTCGCTTTCGTCTCCACACCACCGGCTTCCAGTAAAAGAATTTTCCACTCAGGTACTTCTGAAAGTCGATTTGCCAAAACCGAACCCGACGTTCCTCCTCCGACGATGATGAAATCATAGTGAGTCGGATCTGTAATTTGAATAAAACAATGTATATTATCAAATATGATTAAAAATACATCTACGAAGCGTAAACTGGAATAATTAAAATTGCTTAAGCGCATAATAGCTTTCGCAACGAATTTACATCGCAGGAAATGGAGTAGACTTATTTTTAAAAAACTCTAAAAAATACTGCCTTTTTAATTACCTTCAATTGCTTCCGTCAAAGTGTTTTCTTCCAGCCTCAAAGTTGTACTCTCTTCCCGGTGGTAATTGTTTGCCAAATTTCTCAATTCATTCACGTTCGAGTCGAATTGTTCTATGAACCTATCGGCCAGTTCGAAGGGCCAGGTTTCTGATTTAGAGCCGAAGGCATAGCAAACCACGGCAAAAAGCACACACAGACGCAACATCGTAGCGAATGATGTGAAACACGGGCGGCGCTTATTTATAAGTGAATCTCTGTGCTTCTTTTCTTGCGGGAAAAACCGCAGAGGTACTGAAGACCTGTTGGTTGTTCTTTAATGCTTTTACAGGAATCGAGTCATCAGGTGGTGACCTTTCAATCCTATTGGATGGCGAAGAGACCGTTAAACGATGATTAGCGGCGTCACGGTGGTCGCAGAATTTCCCATATTTATTTTGGTAGGTTTTCCAAAACTAAGCCTATCAGTTCTCGTATCGGAAGGAAATACCAATAAAACGAGTTTTCTCCATGTCGTTTGAGAACGATGCGAGATTTTTTGCAGCCACACGCAAAGTGTGTTTTTAGCAAACGAGAAATGAATGAATGTGAATGAATATGAAGTTGGGAATTACTCTTGTACGGTCAAAATTTTGTAGCTGCAGGCGAAAGAATCTTGCCGCCTGCGGTGGTGAGTGAATTAACCATGTGTAAAACCTTACATTAGTGTTAACCTATGAAATCAGCAGCATTGTTGTTCGATTTTGCTTTGTATTAGGAAATTCCGTTTTTCACGCTTGGTGCTTCTAAATGTTAAAAAAATGATTTGTTAACCGCTAATTTTCTCTTAATTAGAGAGTGTGGTCTGTTTATTTGCGTGGTCATTCTTGTGGATATGATATTTTTGGCGTTTCGTGGAAAATGGTTGAGTGTAGAAATCATTTAGAGAAAGATATCCCGAAACGATTAATAAAGTTGTTTTTATTCCAAGTACTGGTGCGTCCGGTCATTTAGATGTCTCAAAAATATAGGATAAATGATAGTGTTTGATTTCAGACTTCCAATAATTTTTTATTTTGCTTTACTGTTTTTCCATTGTTTTACTTCCCGAGCGTAAGCTAAGGAAGTTTAGTGATCGAGTCTATCGGATAAATGGCCACTTTTATGTTTTCTCGCCGTTTCATAACCCCTACACTACGAAAAAAGTAGTCTCCTGTTTTCGTCTGTCTGTCTGTCTGTCTGTCTGTCTGTCTGTCTGTCTGGTGTCTATATCCATTTTTATTATACACGTAATCGCCAAAACTACTGGACTGATTGTTGTCAAATTTTTTATGCATGTTAGAAATATCATGTAGATGGTTAAACTCTAACCAAAATTTGACTAGTTATCTCCACCAACATTTTGATGGCATCATGTCAAAGAATTCTATGTTTATATGATTTATCACATCTCGATAATTTTTTGTTTATTTTTAAATAAAGATATATGCAATATCGTTTGAGTGGATTATCAACTTCCTGGAAGGGATGAATAAATGCAATGATAAAAGCTCGTGTTTAGCAAGAACCTAGCATTGCTATTGATTAAACAACAGATGTCTTGAAGACTCAGTAGATTCATATTGCTTTTAATAAGTGCTTCTGTAGTGTTTTGAATTGCATTACCATCGTAGGTATTAAAACTTTAACTAAATACATCATGTAGTAGTGTTTTAGATAAATATTAGTTTGTGCGGATGCGGCGGTTACTTGTTTAAACACTAATAATTCACTTTTTTGTATTAAGAATTAAGATTAATTAAGAAAAATACTTTCTTAGTGTGAACTATACAGGGTGTTTCTTTTATTTGATACAACCCCTGTAACTTTTTTATTCTTAAAGATAAATCTGTAGTTCTTTGAACAAATGTATCATTTTAAAAGATCTATGTGATGGCAACCTCACATTTATATTATCACTTCCGGTAGAACCGGAAATGACTTCAACTTTATTTTTTTTATGGGACACTTCGTATATTTTTTCATAAATGGAAAGACTGATTTTTTCTAAAAATCAAAGGCAACCAATATTTGTAAAATCAATACTTAAAAAATGATTAAATAAAATACACGAAAAATTCATATTAATTGATGGCAATCTACTAGCTTGAAAAATTGACACTCATGTCATTTATTCACATAGGCGATCTTTTAAAATGATACAAATTTGGTGAAAGAACTATATGTTTATTTTTTAAAATAAAAAAAATGACGGGGGTTGTATCAAATAAAAGAAACACGTGGTATACATATTTTATTGTATTAAGGATCACAAAATAAAATATGTATTTTAAACTGAAACACGTGCTGTAGCGTCACATAACTAATAAAATATTTTAAACTCGGAAAGTGAATAATTTATTAGCGTTTTAGATAAATTATAAAATTTAATTGTACAAAGTACCATAAAAACTTCATACATATTTCAGTATGTTGAAAAATTACACGACGCAAAAATTTAGTAAAAATTGGACCTTCGGACAAGTCAAACTAAGTACGTTTGATGTATTTTACGAAAAATTTGAAATTCTATAGTTGATTTTGTCAAATTGTGACGCATGGTTTTTTATGAACGTCTATTTATTTTATTGCTCACTTTAAATGAGCATAAAAAGCTGGTTACAGTAACGTGGACTTTTTGATGGTTTTTAAAAATATTGTTGCCCTTATCAGACCTGTGGCATAATCAGTATTCTTTAAATAGCAATTTTATTTGTATGGTTTGGTGTAAAAGGGTGATGGTACTTTTAATTTTTTATTTTTTTTTACCGGTTGAGTAACTTTTAATCTTAAAAGTAGTAATGAAATTCTTTTTAACAAATTTTTCTCAAATGTCCGTAGTTCGTGTAGAAGCTGCTTGAAATAAAAAAATAATATCATACTTCAATTTTCATTGATTCACAAGGTTTTAAATATTACTGTACAAAATGTTTATCTTTCAAAAAAATGTTGCTGTTTAAAAAGTTGGATGCTGTCGTAATTTTGACAGCGCCAGAATGCAGTAAAAACGATAACAGATTTAAAGAAAATGAAACAAAAGATATCCTGTAGTGAATAGATAATTTTAAGATGTCTGAGACGCGTAGGAAATGTGACTGTCTTTTAAGATATGGAAGAAATAAGTTCTCTCCACAGCAACACGTGCTACTGCATTTCTATGTTTTGACATTTGTTCGACTTACTGTAAAATACATTAGCACAAGTGGTATTTCATTGACTTTTTATGCCTTTTTTTAAAATGAAATATACATCTTCTGTTATGATTTTTTGGTGAATTTTTGCAGGAAAAAACCAGTTTGTGTGTTATAAATTCATAATTGCGTATTTACATTTTCAGTGATTTTATTTTTAATATGCAATGGATAGCGGTATATATATATATATATATATATATATATATATAGATTTAAATATGTCGCACGTTCCTATATCTCAGTAATTATTGAAAATAGAAAATAAGCTAAAGTAGTAGTAACTTTGATTGATTAATTAATGAGATATTGAGGATCGAGGATTATGCGCTTAGTAACTCACCCTGTGCATTACATTACATTTTAAATAATTTGAGCATTAGGACACCCAGGAAACTTTGTTAGTTTAAATACTGCTGCTTTCAAAATGTTGTATACTTGTTTATAATAAAGCTCTTGGACCAAAACTTAATCCTGCGGAACCTCTTTCGCCTTCCACTTCTGTAAAATCAAATCTGATGCTTTTTCCCCAATCATAATGCTTGGAATCATTGTGTGTCCACTTATAGTAACAGGAAGAACGCTAGCATCAGCCACTCTCAACTTCTGTACTCCATACACCCTTAACTTATTATCAACAATAGCATCCTTATCAGATTTCGGACCCATTCTTGCAGTACCCATGACATGGTGCAAACTAATGGTTAGCAGCTTAATAGCGCACTTCCAATAATCATCACTTCCCCATTCATGGTCTTCACAACCAGCAATTTTGTAGTCATTAACAACTAAATTCATCTTCTTGAAAACATCAGTACCAGCGAAACTGAGCCCCCTCTTTATACCAGCCAGAAGAGTACGGAAGTCTTCGTCATCAGGATCCGAAAGTGAATTTGGATCAACTAAAGGATGGTGAAAAGGATCTTTGTCTTTCAGAAGAACAGTTCCAATCGATTGAGGATGTACTAACATCACTCCAATTTGCAAAATTTTTTTGTTGGCTAGGGATTTGAAACTTTCTAAAATTTCAGGTTTAAATCTGAAAGAGTTTGCTGTAGGGGATGGCTTTTCGCTGTAGAAGAAGAGTTCGATGTCGGGATAACGTTTTCGGTGATTCGATGCATCGGTTTTGAAGTAAGCGACTGTTTCAGACCCGGGTACACTGAGAGGACCTTTTCCTTTTTGGAGGTATTCAATAATTTCGTCTGTCTCATCTTCTTTGCCAAGTGTAGTGTTCTTATAGAATAGACTCAGGCCTATGAAGGCCACGTGATCTATGAAACGTCTGCCCACGTTTAGCTCAGCTACCACTGGAATGTCGAATTTATCAAGTTCTTCCCTCGGTCCAATTCCCGATAGTTTCAAAATCTGAGCGGTGCTGATAGCGCCGGCAGATAGAATAACTTCTTTTTGTGCTTTAGCGGCGTACAGTTTGCCCTTCGCGAAAAATTCAACACCAGTTGCTTCCTTGCTTTCAGAATCGATCAATAGTTTGGTAACGTGACTAAAAGGTTTAATTACCAAGTTCGATCTTTTACGTGCTGGTACTAAATACGCTTGTGCTGTACTGTGTCTTTTTCCACGTTTTGTACTGAGTTGGGTTCGGCCCATTCCTAACTGGTTCTTGGCGTTAAAGTCTATGTTGTCAAATCCGAGTTCTTTTCCGGCACTTAAAGAACCGTTAGTAATTTCGGTCCAATATCGCGGGTGCTCGATGTGAAAAGGCCCTCCGCGATGACGGTATACAGGATCAAAGGGTTTCACAAATGCGTCTTCTAGTTTTTTGAAGTAAGGAAGAAGATCATCGTAGGACCATCCATGGTTGCCCATAGCCGCCCACTGATTGTAGTCTTCACGGTTACCTCTGGTGCAGTACATGTCGTTGATAGCCGTGCTACCACCTAGGGCTTTTCCAGCGGCTATAGCGCAGATGTTATCAATCATTCCTGTGCTAATGAAATTAGTTTTCGTTATTATTGATTACAGACGTTTATATGTACCTCTACATGTGTTTTTCTGAGGAGTCGTTAAATACCCCCAGTTGTAATCAGTATTGTGCAACAAGTGAGCTAATTTTGGAATTTGGGTGTATGGCGTTTCTGGTCCTCCTGCCTCCAAGAGTAATACTTTGTAGTGCTTTGCACTCAAACGGTTTGCTATAACCGAACCGGCAGCTCCCGCCCCAACAATAACGAAGTCGTAGTGTTTTGGATCTGGAAATTTAAGTTTAACGTTTAATTTGCGACAGGAATATTTACATACCAGCTTCCACGTGTAAATTGGTGTCAAAATTCTTTTCTTCAAAGGTGTGATTTTGCGATTCTTTCATCAGAGCGTCCACTCCAGCTTGAAATTCGCAAATTTTTTCTTTACTTACTTTAGAAAAGGATAATGTTACCAACATTTCCAAAAAAATTAATATTGAAACTAATGGAATCATATTCCGTTATTTTCATGTAGTTTATTTACCACCAGGTTTAGCACATTTGCACTTCGGTGTTCTACTGTTCCTTTTTTGATAAGATACGTAGAATATACATATGAATACGAATGAATTCACGACGCTTTTAATAGAGTTTGCGCGATTGTAGTAATTATTGTTCGTCCAATAAAAACCTGGTGTACTGACGCGATAAAATAAACGTTTAATAATAATAATGATAGTATATTTTCATAGAAATATTCTTTCATTTGGAGTTTGTTAATCACTTAATCGTAGTCAAATAATAATAACTAATAAGTGACGAGCGACGCGATGTACGGTCGTTGGCATAGAAAACTGGACCACTTTGATGTAACAACGTTATAGTTGTTATTTTTTTTTTAACATCATAATAGCAAGTACACTTCCAATTTGAAAAACGGGACAGTGATTTTGTCAGAATAACAACTAACATTAATTGAACTCTAATTTCTTTTTTAATTTGGAAGTGTGTGTTAAGCCATGTGGTCCAGTTTTCTAAGGCCGCGCCTGCAAATTGCAAAATAAACTATGTGTAGCGTTCAGATTTTTTTCTGTTATGCTGTGGATTTGTTCGATAAATTTGTATTTAAAATCGTATTTAATTTTGGCATGTCATTGACCTCGATGTTTTGCTGTTTTTTTTTATTCTATTTAAAACGGGATTATTTGTCTAGACACTTACACAAGAAAACAAAACACTGGGCACATTATTTATCAATTTAATATCTTGCTATTGTTAACAGTCTTTTAAATAATATCATAAAGACTTCGATGTAGATTTACAAGTATGTAATTTACATTTCATACTGTCTTGCAACAAGTAATTGAATACATGTTGATCACATTGTTACCAAGATTATAATTTCATAGTTTAATAGGCTCCACAAGGTTTGCATCATTAGGACAACGTCATATTTGAAACTGTAATCATATGTATCAAATGTATTGGCGATATTCGTTCGCCATATGAACGTTTGATCTGTTTGATTGTTCTCAGTGTTAGATATAAGATGTTGATAGCGACTCGATGTGTTACGTTTTTGTTGATTGTAATTACACGAGAGGTTTTTTACTTCTCGAGCATAAGCTAAGGAAATGCATATGCTAATGGGCTCTATCGGGCGACTGCCAGTTTCATTTTTTTTCGACGTTTCATGACCCCAAGAGTATGAAAAAAGGGATCTCTCGTTTCCGTCTGTCTGTTTGACGTCTGCATCGATTTTTCTCGTAAACTCCGAAACTACTGGACCGATTGTTGTCAAATGTTGTATGTATATTAGGAATATCATGTAGTTGGTGTTAAACACTAACCAAAATTTGGCTGATCTTCCGCATTAACAATTTGATGACGTCGTGTCAAAGAATTATATTTGAAAATGATTTAAATGCTATACAATAATATATTTCGATACACTATATAATAACAGTTTATCACTAACGTAGGATGTAGTGTCCGTGGCCGAGTGGGTTATACTCCGAAAGGCGGACCGGCGGTCGCACGTTCAATGCCAAACTCGATCATTTCTTTTTTGCTCTTTTTCTCTCGCACTTGTGGTATCTATGTTTATGACGTCATAAAACTGTTGTATTGCTTAAATTAAGAACCAGTCACTTTGTTTTCTCGAAAATGTGAGAATATGCACGTCTTTGTTTAAAAAGAATTATAATAATAAAATTCAGAACATTTTGTTCGATTAAATGTATACATATGTAAATAATGTATAGAATGATATGTAAACACACAACTTTTATTTTCGTATTCTACGATTTTAGAGTAAAGAAAAGATACAAAATTGGACCTTATTTATAAAGCTAAGACAATAATTGCAATAAGTAAGATTTTCTCGTTAATTATCCCGGGAAGTACCAGAAACCACAATTATATATCTTTGAATTTACTTTAAAAATAGTTTTCACATTGTGGGTATATGAGCACCTATAAATTATATCTATACAGGTTTTTTTCAGTTCATTCACTTTTGGAAAATTAAAAAAGTGGTGGGTAAGATAATTCGAATCTAGTCATTTTCCCAGTAAAATGATGTGCTGTTCTACTTTTAGTTTGTTGTACCACTTGCACCTGCTTAATGGTTAACTAATGAGGATGACGAATATTTTTGAAGTAAACTAACGCAGGAGGTGTAATCATATTGTTGTGACGTTGTTAATACATACGTATATGTATGAAATTATTATTGAAATTACAATAATTGGTACGAGTAACTTATTTAATTAAAACTATATGGACATTCAATACATAATAAATGTTGTATTTTATAATACATATTATGCCCAGTACCGGGACGGGAAATATAAACAAACTGATGTTGCAAATGTCCGTATTTTTTTTTCAGTGTGCTCGTGATGGTTACCGGTTGTAGATAATATGACTTGTTTGATGTTGGCTGTTGTGTCCTATGACTTTGACAAATTATTCTTCTCTTATTCGTTATTTACGGGTTGGGAATTTTTAAACAACCCAAACAACATAAATATGTGTGGAAGTTTCCACATTTCCAGTAATTATCGCTCTCCCATTCATAGCCTTCACAACAAGGAAACTTCTGATCATTAATAGCCAAAATCCGTTACTTAATATTGGTAACCTAGCGTAGATAAAACTGAGTGACAAACCACCGAAAAACATAAAAATCACCAAAATTGGAGAGAACAGCAGCACCTGTTAATTTAGGGTGGAGTAGAATCAAAACGAATGAAGTTGTTTTGTTGAAGATGAATTCTCTAAAAATTTTGATTTTATTCTAAGAGTTTGTCAGGAGTGGAAGTTTTTGGTTCTTGGACAATTGTGGAGTAATTCTTTTCGAATTTTGATACTTACTTTAGTCTTCTCCAGGCACTGTTTCATAGTAGATTGCACTTCCTAGTGTTTTTAAGATGCTTATTCACATTCAAATCTACAACAATGCACATTTTGAGCTGTGAAAATCCTCATTTGGCCCATTTTCCGATAAAACTGCTGATAGTATGTAACTAATAGAATAATTTTTTAGTAAGGAATAGTGACATTATTAATTTCTGTGAGGTACTATCGACATGCATAGGATTCTCTGCGCCGATCGTAGTGAAATAGGATCAAAATATTTTACGTTCGCAACTTCTAGTTTCTTGAAGTTTGCAAGAAAATCACTGCAGAACCATTGACTGTAATTTTCAGGATATATATATAACATTGTGAAATTAACTTAATGTTAATTAGTTTGAAGAGGTTTTTTTTTGTACCGTCGCAACATTGTTGCATGGGAAGCTGACAATACCCTAATTGTAATGTATGTTATGTCGGCTACAGTTAACACATGAATCTGCGTATATTGCGTTTCCGGTATCTGTCCCTCCAGTGGAGGGACTTTATGGTTATAACTTATAACTTATTATTTACGCTCAAACAATTTACCAAGGTTAGACTAAATTTTCCACTTCGTAAGAATGTAGTAGTTCCTGTTTAAAACTTAGGAGTTTGCTACCAAATTCTGCATCTAAATTTGTACTGAATTTTTCTTTTGTGAAATTGTGGTTTTCAAAATTTAAAACTAAAAGCGTTGAAGCTTGAAAGCATATAAATGTTTTTTTACCCTCCTGTATCATAAATAATGTTTTACACATTTTGTATATTCTTGGTAACTACGATTTTTCAAATGTCAGTTATTTTCACACACTGTCAGAAGGTTAGAGTGCGGAAAAAGAACTGGAAAAACACCCTGTATGTTCTAAGCCAACATAAAAATATCTGAAATTACAGAGCTCCGAAGGACTCATTCAGTGTAGAATAATGTTATAAAATAACTTTTTTTGAGATTATGAAAGCACAATTATTCAATTTTTGACATATGAATAAAGTCATACATACAGCGATGCAAGACCTACTGTGGATATTTTGTGCAAAAATATTGATGCAATGACGTAAGACGATTCATGTCAACATTTTTAGCAAAAAAGTCGGGTAAAAAGTTTAATACATTATTCGTGCGGTAAACATTTTGCAGTGCTCGGTTTTGTTAAAGCACTCCGGCTTCGCCGTCGTGCTTCATAATAAAACGTTGCACTGCAGAATTTTATTTACCGCGCTCACTAATAATGTAAATGACTATTATTTGTAGCTATTTGGAATTAATAACCTGGAAATGAAAACTTTACAAAACTTTTTGCAATCGTCAAGAACTGCTTATATTTATGGGAACTATTTCTAGTTTTACTAAATCACATTCTGTAGAAATATAGATACGTCATTCTAAAAATAAAATCGCTAAGATATACTAACAACGAAGGCCCTATTGATCGCTCCGGACCTCTTCTCATTTCCAGCTCTCCTTAATCAAATCCGAAGCCTTCTCTCCAATCATGATACTAGCAGCCATCGTATGCCCCGTAATGGTAACTGGAATAACACTAGCATCGGCTACTCTCAACTTATGTAAACCATAAACATTCAGCTTGTTATCCACAACAGCGTCTTCATCACCTTTGGGGCCCATTCTTGCTGTACCAGTGACGTGACGCAAACTGATGGTTAAATGCTTAATAGCACACTTCCAATAATCATCAGTGCCCCATTCATGGTCTTCGCAGCCAGCAACTTGATGCTCATTGAACACCAAATCTAATTTCTTCAAAGCCTCGGTGTCGGCAAAACTTACAGCTTTTTTTATACCGGCCAGCAGCGTATGGAGATCTTCGTCATCTGGGTCTGAGAGCTGGTTGGGGTCGACTAACGGATGATGGAGAGGGTCCTTGTTCTTCAGAACGACAGTACCTGTGGATTTGGGATGGGCTAACATTACTCCAATGTTCAGAGCTTTCTTGCCGTCAACTGGTTTCCATAGACTTTCATGTACTTCGGGTTTTAGTCTGAAGGGGTTTGTAGGAGGGGAGGATGAGAGCTTTTTGTTGTAGAAGAAGAGTTCGATGTCGGGGTGATGGGCTTTATCTTTGGAAACTTCAGTCTGAATATAACCAAGCACTTCGCAACCGGTTGTGGTAAGAGGACCTTTGCCGTTTTTGAGGTACTCGACAACTTCGTCCAGTTCGGGTTCTTCCGGTTCAGTTCCGTTATAGATCAGATCGAGAGCGAAGAAAGCGATGTGATCTTTAAAGTGTTTGCCAACGTTTAGAGCTGATACGACTGGAATATCATGCTTTTCGAGTTGTTCTTTTGGACCGATTCCAGATAACATCAAAATCTGCGCTGTGTTGATGGTACCGGCTGACAAAATGACTTCTTTTTCGGCATTGGCCACGTGTAATTTACCATCGTGAATGAACTCGACCCCTGTGGCTTCCTTAGTGTGCGGACTGATCAAAATTTTGGTTACGTGACTGAAGGGTTTGATGATCAAGTTGTGTCGTTTTTTGGCGGGCTCTAAATATGCTTGAGCAGTACTTTGCCTCTTTCCGTGTTTAGAAATAATTTGGGTGATTCCTAAACCTATTTGTTCCTTCCCGTTGAAGTCTATAGTGTCAAGACCTAACTCTTTTCCGGCTGCCAAAGAACTTTCACTAATGTGTGTCAGGTATTGTGGGTGTTCGATATGGAAAGGTCCTCCACGATTGTGGTACTTGTGGTCAAAGTGTTTTAGGTCGGCGTCTTCCGCTTTTTTGAAGTAGGAGAGAACGTCGTCGTAGCACCAGCCATCGTTGCCCAAATCTGCCCACTTATCGTAGTCTTTGGCATTGCCGCGCGTGTACAACATACCGTTAATGGCGGTACTACCACCAAGAGCTTTACCTCCGGCGATGGCGCATTGGTTGTCGATCATTCCTGTAAAAAGACTTCAGTTTTAGTTTATTTTGTTTTATAGCTTACCTTTGCACCAGTTCTTCTGAGGGGTTGTTACATACCCCCAATTATAGTCCGTATTTTGTAACAAATGTGCAAGTTTTGGAATTTGAGTGAATGGAGTTTCGGGACCTCCGGCTTCCAAAAGTAATACTTTCCATTCTGGTTTTTCCGTTAAACGGTTGGCGATAACGGAACCAGCAGCTCCTGCTCCAATTATTATGAAGTCGTAGTGTTCTGGATCTGGAAGTTTGTTTTAGTGGCAGTACACAAAATTGCGGAATGGGACTATTTGGCGCGGCCGACTTGGCGCGGCCAACTTGGCGCGGCCGACTTGGCGCGAGCCATTTTGGCTCAAAGCCAACTTGGCGCAGGGACATTTTGGCGCAAGCCATCTTGGCGCGAGTACGTCGGTATATAATATAAAAAATATTTCTTGTTCGTACTGTGGTTAGCACCTTGTTATTTATGCCAAATGTAGGCAACCAAATACAAAGTTTCATTCGCACAAATTCCAATAACTAAATGATCCACGGAGCAAGAAGTTCCACATTTAGGAGTATGTTTATAATGGGGTGCAGGGCGCGAAGCGCCCGTGTGTCCATTAAAAAGTCGACATTACCCCTCCACGCGTTGCTGACTATAAAAATTAGGTTATGCTAACAACGGCTGCAATTTTTGTATATTTATATCTATTTTTCTTGGTACGAGTTCATCCGCGCCAAAATGGCCCGCGCCAAGATGGCTTGCGCCAAAGTGTCCCTGCGCCAAGTTGGCTTTGCGCCAAAATGTCTCGCGCCAAGTCGGCCGCGCCAAGTTGGCCGCGCCAAGTCGGCCGCGCCGAATTGTCCTAGACCGACAAAATTGGAGTAGTACCTGTTATAATTTCCGAACTGTTGTCGACTTTCGTTTCGATATTTTCTTGCGTAAAGTGGTGTTCTTTTATTTGTTTTTTAAGAGCTTCGATTCCTGCTTTGAAGTCTTCTATGTATTTTTCGGTTAGTTGGAAAGGAGAAGATAGTACAAGCGTGAGAATTCCCAGCAGGAGGAACTTAGAAAATGGTGTGAGCATGTTGTTAATCTGAAATACATATACTATAGTTTTATAGAAATATGACTGAATTGGTTTTAAAAGCAACCTACTAATGAGACGAATTTATCGTAGTTTGACCGTTTTTACTTTATTTCATTTTTTAACTAGTTGCTAACCTCGCACTAAGTAAGCAAATAAGTGATTCGCGGGTTCTTGAAGAACCATCAAATGAAGTGGACATAATTAATGGAATGCTTTGACTGGTTTACCTCTATTCAAGAAGTTTCAACACAACCAAGAACATACGCAAACTTTGTCGCAACTTTCCTTATTAAGCAAGTATTTGTGATTACAATGAAATGAAACTCGGAGATTAAGAAAAGTAACTCATGATTTAATTATTTTCAGCTTACGTTATATTAACTGTCCACGCCTTACACGTATAGTCATACATAAACATAATGCACCTTCACTTTGTTACTGTTGTAGCGACATTTTTCAAATGCTTGTGTTCCTGTTTTAATGATCTCGCCTGGGGCACCAAAAAGTGGAACGTGCCATATCAAATTCCAGTAAATTAACTCTAATCACTCACCTCCTTATTCCTATATCACAATGACGGTGCAAACTCCAGCACAAAACAAGACGAACTGCCAGAATGGCAAATTAACTTTCATATATATAAAAGCGATACAGGGTCGCCTCTCCTTCTATTTACTTCGATATCTCTTTCTCTAATCAGATACAATGAAATACAAAACGAAGGTTTCAGCTTTAACACAGATTTTTGCAGCATTGATATTTAAGTTTGAGCGGTGCGTTTGTATGAAGAATTAATTGCCTTGCAACAATAAGAATGGGATATGGGTTCAAAAATGAAAGCCAGGCATTGATAGTTTTTATCGAAGAACTGTTGGACGTTTGACCTTATCCTTTGTTGGGTAGTTGGGTTGGACGACGTGAAGAAATATTAGAGGTGGGAAAGTTCTTAAAATCTCGATTTTTTTTTGGTTGAGGATTTTGACGTGGTGAGGTTTTTCTCATATTCGATGCGAGTTAAGCGAACCGAAATATGTTGATAATAACCTTGTAAGGTGATGTTATGGTTTAATATAATTAAGCGACTCATTAAGGATTTTTTAGGTTATTAAAGAGAAAAAACATTTCCGCGGAGAATTTGCATAGCTTTGTTTTGCTTTTTTTTTTTAATCTTGGAATTTGATTGTCTTGTTTTAAAATATATTTGTGTTCGAAACCAATTAAGATATTATTGTTGGAAATCATTATACTATTTTTAGGCAGACTAGTTAATTATATGTATATGGTTTTCTACGAAAAATATACGCAGATACGAGTACATGTTAGATTTTTGTTTGCATTTGAGGTGGTCTTAATGCTCAAACTAGTTTCACCACTTTGATAAGTTTAATGCTCTCCGTTTTTGTGTTCATATTGATAAGTTTTCAGCAGCTACTTTTGCTGTGGGGTATAAATAGAAAACTGCTGAAACAAGTAATTTAAAATTTTTAGTAAAGCATCCTATGCACAATAATTTTCGCATCCATCTCAGATTATATATTTTAATAAAGATTTATTTAGTGATTTGTCGTATACACGCATCATGTATAGCGTACGATCAATAAGAAAAACGTTCTCAAATTTGCCATGGATGTGCAAATCGTCTTTCTCATCTCGGCTTAAGCGTAACAGACGACAGGAAAAACAGTTTGTTCGTCGAATACCAACTTCAGGATATTTTACTTCTTGAGCGTAAGCTAAGGAAGTATTGTAATAGGATTCATCGTGCAACTGGCTACTTTCATGTTTTCTCACCGTTTCATGACCCTTAGATACGAAAAACATTGGTTTCCTGTTTTCGTCTGACTGTCGTTCGTGTGGATTTTTTTGTAGACAGATAACTAAATTTTGTCTATTATCCCTACCAACAGTGTGATGACGTCATCTTAAGTTGTGAGGGAAGTTCTGTCTAAATAACCTTAGACCAGTTTTATTGTTGACCGCACCGTATTAATTTTATTACTACTCATTTTCGTAATGTCGATTTGCTATAAAAATTTTAAGAAAATTACGTGAACGGTTTTAGATAAAATTGAAGATATAAAACAGTTCATTTTTATTAGAGAACAATAAAAACTAATCCCGTTAAAAAATCAGTCGAAGGTTATTTCGACAGAACTTCCCTCGTAAATAATAAACTTTGATTTCCCGTTTTTCGTTTTTGTGATAATCTCTATAAAGTAAAAACTAGCGGCATAAATAACACCCCCGCAGCCCTTGCGCCAAGAATTTGCGTTCCCAATTACGGACAACGTAAATATGTAAATATATTTAAAGCAGATAACCAGCAGGAAAAAAATTCCTCCCAACAATAATAAAAAGCGTCAGTCAAATTAGTTTGAATTATCTGCTCAAAACAGAGGAGTAAAATTATTAATTATGCTACATATATTAATTAAGCTATACTATTATAATTATTAAATAAAGACGTGCGTATTTTCGAAAAAATGACTCGTTCTTAATACATATGTATACTCAGTTAGTAACATGCTATTAAACTGTGTTAATTTTTTTGCTAAAATTTGGATGTTTAGGGAAAAAACTCAGAGCGGATTCGTACACCACAAGTATAGAAGTAATATTGTTGTATAACATTTAAATTATTTCAAAATAGAATTCTTTGAGGTGACGTCATCAAATTGTTGGTGATGATGATTAGCCAAGTTTTGGTTAACATTTAACCATTTACATGATATTCCTCATATATATACAAAATTTGACAACAATCGGTCCAATAGCTTTGGAGATTGCGTGTCTAACAAAAATCGACACAGACGCCAGACAGAGAAACGGAAACGGAAGGTCACTTTTTTCGTACTCTACAGGTCATAAATCGTCGAGAAAACATGAAACTGGCAAGTCGCCCGGTGGACTCGATTACTATACTTCTTTAGCTTACGCTCGGGAAGTAAAAATGGATGACGTCACTTGAAAAATAGTCACATAAATGTTTAAGGAAAATTTGATCTGCAATGCGCTCTTATTTGTACTTTAGAATTTAGAAATATGTTTTTAATTCTTATAACTTATAACTATTGGAAGAAGTCTGGTGTGCAGTTTCTTTGGAAAATTGTAAACTTTTCTTATAGATAATAATCTATAATTATTTCAATAGGCATGGATTATTAACTTATTAAACATATGAAAACCATGCTATAGTAAGTTGCAAATCTGTATAAAATTTTGTGCTACACATAGTGAGGACAATATATTAATTTTGATATCTATAGTGTGACACTAATAAGAGCATTACTGTGTTCGTGGAGACTCACAAGAATTAAAGAACCGTTTTTATTGAAAAATCAAATAAACAAAATTTAAATTATTATTATTCTTATTATATTAAATGCAGCTAAATCATAGGAGTAGTTCTAAGTATTTACTTTTAAAGTAGTAGACTGGTTTTTTTAAGTTGGGCGGTAGCCACCAATTTTTCTTAAAAGTAATATTAAAAAACTACTGTAAGTACTGAAGTTAATATCACCTTTGAATTTGGATTCGGGTTTTATTATGTCTCCCTGGCGAGGCTATTTTTCGATAGCTATAACCTTTAATAAGTAGTTTGTTTTCCATGATATATTTATTTCAGGTTTAATTCGCGACCGCACTCTAGGTCAGCTGCAGGTTTAAATTAGAAGCTAACGGTAACATCAACATGTTTCTACATGGCTGTGAAAGCTTTTAGCGATTTTATTGGTCTAATTATTATTTATTAATATAAACGTTATTATAACAATTGTAACCATATTAGAAAGTGCATTTAATGATTTGTTTTCTTACTCGAACGTTATTGAACTTAAAACAACTCAAATTCTAAGGTATTTGTGTTTTTCGATATTAGCACCTGTGTTTCTCATTAATAGTACCTAAAACATTAATTACCATTGGTTATTGAATATAAAAAATCTGATTTGTTACGTGATTACCAGAGACCGGACTCTTGCTGCAGATATTGTGACAAAACGCTAGTACGTTGCTGCACTTGAACCTCGCGTCGGAGCAGTTGAACTTCGGATGGCTGACTGTATGTTACAAAAGAGTTAGTTTTCCTTCAAATTCACGCATATTCAGCGGTGTTCGTACTATAAAATTAGTTAATAATAATATAAGTTTTATGGAGGTAGATTTTCAGAGAATAATAACAATTGTCGTTAACATACATAGCGTTACCACTGCATCGTGATCTCTCACTAAATGCGAGCCGATCGGAGACTTGAAGACAACTTTCATTATCTACGGCAAATCGTGGAAAAAGTAATATACTATGTTGGCACTAAAATTGCTTTATTTTTCTGGTAGCAATAAACTGGTATTTTAATCCCTTGTATGGTGAATAACTTTCTTTGTTAATAATCTCCGAAACTACTGGACCGATTGTTGTCAAATTTTGTATGTGTATTAGGAATATTATGCAGATGGCTCAAACGCTAACAAACATTTTTCCAATCATCCCTACCAACAACGTGATGACATCCCCTTAAAATTTTATACAATAAACATAAGTTAAATCTCATAGAATATTATACTCCCATACTTGTGTTTTGTGAATCTGCCCTGCTTTTGTTTATTATTATTATTGTTTATATTTCCTTCTCTTTTGGCTCCGTAAACTAGGCGTTATGGGTGTAAGACCCTGAGACTTGCCTTACAATTGAAAGTCCCGTGCTCTACCTTTCAAAAGTTTTAAAATCCGAGGTATTATTTTCATTTATTCATTTATTTGCTAAACAACTCTTAAAATAAAACCGACGAAATTCCATTATCTGAATTGACTTGAATTTTCAAAACATAATTTTTTAAATGATGCATCCACTGATGCTGAATAATGTGAATTGAAATTTGCAATGCAGAATGCAACACTAATTTTCACATTTATTATTATCTTTTTTTGGAATAACGCATGATGTACATTTGAAGTTAAATTACAGTATTTTGACATTTCCAAGATGATTAATTATCAAATTTTGTTGTGATATACTGGCCGCTTAATTCGTACTCACGAAAATTTAATCTCGATAATATTTTAGTAAAAACTTTACCATTCACTGATTGTGATTAGTATACCACAATGTCTTTGATAGTGCGATCTTGAAATAACTAAACGCGTTTGAAGGATATTGTGTACCGATTTATTTATCACATTGATGGTTTCTTTCACTTTAAATTGATGTCACTTCAAAAATCCTTCATTTTTAAAGTTTATTAGCTCATTAATAATTCAAAAAGCAAGCATTTTGAGGCGTTTCTGACACCTCTGTTTAACCATTAAAATAAATAAATAAATAATTAATCGTTATAGAAGTATCAAGATTTATCTAATGATTTTAGTAAACTACTTTTTATAATTAATACGACTATATTCGGATGCTACACATAAAAAATGTTATCTTACACAAAACATGTTTAATAGCAACCACCACGTATTTAGCAAGACGATACGAGTTTTTTCTACACATGTACATTTTAAGAATTATAACTCTTACATAAATATTTAGTGCAATTTTAATTAAAATGAACGCCCAAATTTGTTATAGATTAACAGTTTGTATATTGGAGTAGCGAAACTTCCCATGTGATGAATTCTTAAAAATTAAAATAATATTTGGTGTACGATGTTTGTTTATTTTTATAGATATTTGCTTTAGCAGCATCTGTTTTTTCTTGTTTTATTATTTGATCCTACTGAGTTGTTAACCCTCGGCAATTTTATTATAGAACTGTATATACCAATTAACACCTGCATTTTTATCACGCTTTTATTAGCTTGGGTTGTATCTATGTATGTATGTAACGGACTCTTTGAGCTTAATTTTCATCGGTTTCTAAAAGTCTGATCATCTTGAAACTTTGCACACGTCTCAAGGATCGATGACAATGCAATAATTTGATAACAGTTTCCCATTATCCTTATTAGGACCGCCAGGATCCTCGATCCTACGGAGACCACTGAGTGGTTCTTTCTAGAAAAATCTAAATAAGTAATTAATTCCCCAATTTATGAATTTGTCGCAGACTAAAAAATGAAAAATAAATAATAGTTTAAAAAACTAAAAAAACACGCTTTTATTGCTAATCGAACTAAAAACTAGAAAATAATTTTTAATGACAGAGTTTAATATTACAGTAGTAGAAGATCAAACAATCAATCATAATAAATCACCTCAAATTAAAATTATAATAAAATTTAAGTTATTAACAGAATAATTCAATTCAGAGTAAAAAGCGTGGGGTGCATTTTACTGCGGTTCATAACTATCCTCTCATAGATAGTTGCTAATAGAATGATTGTAATATTTAAAATATCAAGCACCCCACGCTTTTTACTCTGAATTGAATTATTCTGTTAATAACTTAAATTTTATTATAATTTTAATTTGAGGTGATTTATTATGATTGATTGTTTGATCTTCTACTACTGTAATATTAAACTCTGTCATTAAAAATTATTTTCTAGTTTTTAGTTCGATTAGCAATAAAAGCGTGTTTTTTTAGTTTTTTAAACTATTATTTATTTTCACTAAAAAAGAGAAGAATAGGTTGATTAAACATATCTGCATATCAAGTTCCATTGTTAACCCTCACATAGAAAAAGATCTGCATTCAGTGACTCACGTACCAGAAAAGTTCAAGGAGTTGTTATGACAAAAAGATTCATTTTTGATTTGCAATTAATATTGCATTTTTCTCGATGAAAAGGAAGTTATAAACATGTTCTGATCATAAATAATACTTCATGATTGGTGAATGGAAATAATGATAATAATTACAAATTCCATAATGGTTTTTAATTGTTTACAAGAATTGCAGGGGCGGAGACATCCATCTGATTTACATACTCTCGCTTATTCATGTTCTGGACGCGATAGATTTATGCAACCAATATTACACGCTTTTTTTTCATAGCCATTCTGCTTTAATTAAATCTGCCGCTTTTTCACCAATCATATATGCTGGCACGTTCGTATGCGCAGTTATCGGTATAGGAATGACACTCGTATCAGCAACCCTCAAATTTCTCACTCCATAAACTTTTAACTCATGATTAACAACAGCTTCTGGATCAGTTCTTGGTCCCATTTTACAAGTAGCCACTTGATGGTGCAAAGTTGCAGTGACGTGTCGGAGCGCACATTCCCAGTAATCATCTGAGTCGAAGATATTGTGTTCACATCCTGGAATAGGAGTCGTGACTAGTTGTGCTCCATATTTTTGCCAAGCGGGCATTTTGGCCATTCTTTGCACCTCGCGGATAGCTGCGATAAAGGTCTTCACGTCTTTGTTCCCCGCATCTGTGAAGAAGTTCCCATGGAACTTTGGCCAGTGGAAAGGATTCTTTGATTTGAGTTCTAAGAAGCCGTAGGACTTGGGGTGTACCAACATGGGGAGGACTTGCCAAGCATATTTGTCCTCCAAGGGTTTCCAAACTTTGTTATAAATCTCATCTGTGATTCTGAAGGTTTTGCGGTAGAATAATCCTTTGTCTGTGTGCATACCACCTGAAATGAAAATGAGCTCCATGTCAGGGTAAGGGCTAGGATCGTCAGATTCTTTGGTTTTGAAATACATAAGGGCCTCCACTCCTCCGAGTGTTGTCAAAGGACCTTCACCTCTTAGAACCAGTTTTAGGAAATTTACAGGTTGTTCTAATACTGACTGATCGCTTACTATAGATTGGTTGACGGTAAATATTAATCCTAAGAAGGTTATATGATCGTACATTTTTCTTCCCACTGGTAAATCTTGTACGAGTGGAATCCCTAATTCTTGAAGATGTCTTCGTGGCCCTATCCCACTCAACATCAACAACTGCGGCGAGTTAAAAGCGCCCGCCGACAAAATTACTTCTTTGTTGGCCATGGCTGTATGGTATTTCCCGTCTTTGAGAAACTCGACTCCAAACGCTCTCCTATGACCATCGATAAGTACCCTAGTGGCTCTACTCTTCGTTAAAATCTTCAAATTCTTGCGGTCCCTGATGGGTCTTAAAAAGGCTGCCTCTGCACTGGATCTTAGCCCTCGTCTTGTGGTGGCGTGAACGTAGGAAACTCCCATTTGTTTGCGACCATTGTAGTCCACGAATGGGTGTCCTGCTTCCTGGGCTGCTTTGACAAACGCGTGCACTGACTCGGTATGAAAGGCTACGTCTTGTACTCCTAAGTAACCGCCGGTTGCATGGTATCCCTTGTCTTGTTGCTTCACCAAGAAATCTTCGGATTTGATGAAGTATTTGAAGACGTCACGGTACGACCATCCCGGGTTGCCCATTTTTTCCCATCTATTATAATCTTGTTTGTTACCACGCACGTGGATCATGTAGTTGATGATGGAAGTACCGCCAAGGGCACGACCGCGTGGCCATGCCATTCTTTGATCGACGAGACCTGAAACACACTTTTTAATATATCAGTTTTTTTTAATATACATGGAGTTGTTTTAATCAAACCACCTTCGAATGTGAAAACGTGTGTGTGCATAATATGTTAAATCCAAACTATAACTTAAATTTGCTTCGTCGATTGCTGTATTTAGTATAGGTTACGATTGTAGAACTACTTCACCTGTTTTTTCATGAAACGTGGAAACGGTTTGCATATATGGTAATAAACCATTAGAACTTGTAACACTGTAATTGTTTGGAAATAATGAAATGCGTTAACTACCGCTTCCAAAATCACATTTTCAATTCTACGTTACATTGTCTTAACTTATTATACAGTATGTTATTAAGTAAGTGGTCACCATTAAAAGTATAATAAGGGCAACTAATAGAAGTCGTAATTTTAAATTATTTTTTTGTACCTTCCTGGCAAAGATAAAGTATTCTGAAACTGACCAATTATGAATTTTGTTTTTAATATGTTGAAACTTAAGAATCAAGAGACAGCGCAAAACAGTATCCGTTAATTGTTATAATTGACATTAAATTTTATATCCGTGGCGTCGTGTTATAGATTTAGACGAAGAATGCTTGTTACTTTTAGGAACCAAGAATATGCCGAAATGTATCTAGTTTAAAGACAACATCTCACACAACCAACTAGATGTTGTGCATGCAAAGGTGATGGATGATACTAACTTTTATAACAGATCTTTTGGTTTTACCCTTGACTATATTGTGTTCTACGTTGCTTTGAGACTATAACTGGCTAAGTTTAAAGACTAATAAGATACATTTTTTTTTTCATTAGTAAAGAGCTAGAATTATTTGACACCCATGAAACATTTGTCCAATTTTGAGGATTATTGTTGGATCCAGAGTTATGTGTAAATGTGATTGTTGATGCAGTTGCAAACAGGCTTATGAGAACAAACGCAAGAATTATAAAAAATACCTTTTATCTGCATATTATGCGTTTATTCAGTTATATTTGGCATATGGTCTAATCTCTTAGGAATATTCTAGAATTGATAGTTTAACAGTGTGGGGTTTTAAAAATAATTAAGAAGTTAGCTCTAGCCATGACGAGATCATGTTTTTACAAATTTAAATGTCTTCATCATTCTCTGTCATCAGTAAAATATATATGAAGTAAGAACTTTACAAGAATCATTTCATTAGACACTCTGTGGATCGCACAGCATTTTTATCATAATGTAATAAAATTAAAATAATATACATATAATAGAGGACCACGTTTGTAGCTGCAACTATTATACAAATTCATTTTATTTATTTAAAACAGAAATATCTCGGCGAGACAATTATAGTACCTAGACACATGTTGTCTTCTTTTTCCATGAGGTAATTCCAGTTGAGATCAGTGAATTGAAACAGAGGAGCTAGAACAGGAACATCAGTTATTTCCACCGCTTCCTCGCCCACTTCCAGAAGAAGGACGGAAAAATTTGTTTCAGTGAGACGGTTGGCAACAACGGCTCCTGCTGAACCGGAACCAACTACGATGAAGTCGAATGTTGACGTTTCAGGTATATCTTGGTCTGGAGAAAATAAAGTAAATTTCTAGATTTGTGACAAAATATTTACTTACTGGAATAGCTGGTTAATACGAAGTTCCGTTTTACTCGTTTGTTGGCGTTATCGTATTTGATTTTGGCGTCGTCTAGGTAATCGTCGATGAAATTGTTGGTGGCTAACAGGATTGGTGGTAAGGTTACGATGAAAAGAAATGAGGAATACATTGCCTAGGAGAAAATACATGTGTTAGTTTATTTACGCGACTGTTATATTGGTCACAGATTTTAAAAGGTTTTTAAAAATTTTTGAGTTTTGAATTTTCTGCAAAATTACCACACATATTAAAGAAAGAAAAAAAAACAACAGTGAAATTAAAACGGTACTTTACTTCTTTGAAATTTATAGTAATATTCTAACAAAATTGTATTTTATTCATCCTCTTCAAAAAGTTGATGACGTCAGCTTGGTTATTAAATAAATGTTTAAAAAACAGGGGTTTTAAAATCCTATTCTACTTGTATCCACTTTACTCTTTGCTTTTAGGGTTGAGGACATTTTAGAAAGAATGATATAAGAGAAAGATTGCATCTTAATGTTAAACCATTATGTTTTCGATTTTTATTTTTATGTTATTCCAGAAACGGCCCATTTAACTGTACTGAGATCTTTATTACGGAGTAACTTTTTAAGGGCCTATTTACAGAAGCTCAAATATTTGATTGCAATAAATATGTGATGCGCCATTAAAGTACCATGTGACCGACTCTACATCAATCAGATATCGCTAAAGGCCTTAGTAAATGCGCGGTTAACTTAATCTCAATTAAAATATGTCATAAACTGACCCTAAGTATTATGTTTCTACATAATGTAATTAATATACATATATTTACTAAAGATTACTAATTAAATATTTATTGAGTAGTAGTTTAGAAGAGAGTAGGGTTTTTTTAACTACCTTAACATTAATTTTCGTAACGTAGGTCACAAAATTTTAATGTGGTTTTAAAGTGATAACTAGAAACCTTTTGTAAAAAATATCATGTTTGCATAAAAAACAAACTGCATAGGTAGGTAAATATTTTGTATGATATTTGAAAGCTGTTTTACAAGTCACATTTTTCTGTAATGAAAGTAATATTTTTCAACCATAAGCCAGAGGCGGCTTGTGTCGGGCGCCACAAGGGCACGTGTCCCCCCCAAAATTACAACGTCTACGAACACACCGGACATAGCAAAATAGTAATTTTCGATATTTAAAAAATTATCCGGAAATTTGTGTCATAATACTCATAATAATAATCAAAACTTACATCCACTTACGCCTAAAGATGTTGTGTTTTGGATATATGATATGTTGCTAATGAAGTGTTGATAAAGCCGGAGACCGAATCATGGCTGATTTAGATGTTTTGTTTACACCCTTGCCATGGAAACGGAGTGTATGATAGCGACATTAGAGTGCAATCGAATCCTGCTGCGTTAGTACCCAGCCGCAGTACTCAATTGCGGCTTTTAATTTTCATTCTACGCGAGTGAAAATGTTTGATTGTAAATAAAAATAATGAATTCGGTTGAATATTTAATAAAAAAATCATCCTCTGTGTCAGGACGGTAAATAAAATATTCTTGGATAATCTTCTCGGTAATACAGACATTCGGAAACAAGTAAACACTGCCTATGTTAATAATATTCGTGCACATAACGCAAGGGTCGACAAAAATTGCCATATATTCCGCCGATTGATAATGTGGATACAATTTTGTGGAGTGTTTGAACTTGCTTTACGAGGACATGACAAAGTAGGGAATCACAAAATCCAGCTATATTTCGAGGTCTGATTGATTTTCCGGCTGAATTGGACTCTGCTTTATCAGATGATGTGAAAGCAGCAACGGTTTTTAAAGGAACGTCCGAAACTGTCCAAAATGAACTTTTAGATGCATCAACGTAAAATGTTGACCGAAGGCAAACTTTTACTGACTTTTATTGAATGTATTTTTGTATTGATATCCGTCACACAATTTTGTCTATTAAGTAACAACCTGTTTTATAGCTTCATATTTAACTCCTCAATCAAATTGAGTCCCCCCATTTCAAAAGGTGACGAGCCGCCACTGCTATAAGCTAGGGAAATATCACTATTTATCTATTTTAAAAGGGACTAATGTTTTTCTGCACTTTTTACGGCTACTACAATACGAAAATGTTGGTCACCCGTTTCCGTCTGTCCTATCTGTTGTTGATTTTGTAAGAGACATAATCTTCGGAAATTCTAAACCAATCGCTATGGAGGTTTGGGTGTACTTTAAGACTATTGTGTACATGCTTAACTGCGGATCAAAATTTGTTTATTCATACCCACCAACAGTTTGATGACACCGTCACAAAATTTTGATGCGTTGATCATATTTAAGCTTTACAAAGTAGTATGCATCTATATTAATATTATATTAATCTGGCTTTATTTTTTTTTTACTTAGACGTCTAAATTTTTCAAAAATAATTAAATAACTAAGTAAAATGTCAAAAAATTAAAATTTGTATCAGAAAATACAAAACCAACAAAAATCAAAATTTGTCTTTATCATTCACAATAATTTATTGACATTAAAAATTTTACTGGTTTAATCTTGTCCAAAATGTGCAAAATGTTAGTCTAAATTTGTGAATTATCAGTACGACTGTATTTTTAACCCTGCATTTGCAAATTAAATATTGAAAACCAAAAAAAAATTAGGAAACCAAATTTTGCGATTTATTTTAAAAACAACTAAACCTGTTGGCATCAAATTAAACACACGTTTTGTGGTTGTCATACGCCTGATAGGTCGTTAATCAAAATTTTATTGTTCGTCTCCACCAAAATATTGATGACGTCACCTCAGAACTTTGCTACGTAAATTTTATTTAAAATGTGTCAATAGTAAGTAATATCTTCCATGTCGTTTATTAATTCACTAACAATTTTGTCTTATATGTAAGCGTTATAATAAAAAAAAAATTGTAAAATCAACTTTTACAGTAAGTACCTACTTACATATATCTAAAAAGGGCGTAATGACGTTCAGTTTATTAAACATTTGACAACTTTTTAAGTAAGGTACTTGTTTAAAGACTACCGTTAATTTTTGAAAGTTGTTAACATTTTTTTTCGAGTTTCTTGCATTGTATCGATTTTTTTTAGCTTTCCAGCGCTTTGAGGCTTTAAATTTCATACATGTTAGGCACGAGTGTAAGCTTGTTGTTTCTTTGCAGTTACAAAATGGTAATTCATGCTATTTGTAATCTTTACACTAAAAATGTGTGGTCGTTAACGATTAGGACACAGAATTACTTAAAAAAAATTCTAATGAATATGAAGTAATAATAGTACATACCTTGACCATTGGAATAATTTTTATTATAGAGTCCCCCCAATTGTTTTTTCGTTTACTCTGTAGTGTTTTTTTGTTTGTCCTGAAATAATCCCTCAAAGCGTTCGCACTCTTCACGTCACTCAACCTGAAACCGTTACAGCTGATATACTGCCTGCCTGAACTGGATGGATGATCCTGCACACACAAACTGCAGATAGCCTAAAATCATGGTACCGGTCTTTATAAACAATCAAGTTGGTCAAGAACCTCTGCTTCCTACCTCCGGAAGGTTATTTAAAAAATAACACGAAATACGCATTTTCCTTTTTTTCTTATGCGTAAATAATTTATATGCCTAATCGCACCAGGTCGAGAACCTCATTAGGCAATCAGATCCTTCACCTTCCGTTGGAATGCTATCGGCCAAAACGGTGATTCTTGCGCGATTCTTAAATTTTTGTGGTTACTGAAGACAATGTCAGAGCTGATAAAAAATTTCTCTTTCAATGACCGTTGAATAGAAGGTTAGCACAAACATATGCACTTTCCGTCTTTCATGCTTGGAATTTTTAAATCACTTATACGTGCTTTGCGAACAATTTTATTTCTATAATAAGTTTTGGGATACAAGTTTAATTATTAACACAAGAGTTAAGGTTACATCATATGACACCTGTAAAAATTACGTAATTTATGACATTATTGAGTCACAACACAGTCGCTTTTTTGGAACAAACGGAGTAGTGTCGCTTAAGAACAGATTTAAAGTGGTTTGAAAAGTAAGAGCATGGACTGCCGGATTCACACATACACTCACTTATAATACCATAAGTCAAAGTTATGTCGAATATTTTTGTGGTGATGTCACGAATGCACAAAATGCAAAAATATACGACTTAACTTTGACTACGCATGGGATTCGAGGGACTATTCCATCAATCAACTCTTTCCAGATAAAATTCAACCAAAAAGTAGGTAACAAAAATTAAGTTCCATATGCCTTCATTTCCACATCAACCGAAGTAAAAAGCTTCGGTGATATTGAATGCAGTTTTTGGTGTTTTAAGTGGTGTTCCCGTTGGAGTTAACGAAATTTTGACTAAAACGTCACAAATCAATAATTAATAAAATACGAAATAATTCAGTTAATCAAGTAAACAGTGCTGTAAGTGATAAAATTATAAACGAAATTACTTATTTATTTCAAAACTGTAACCTTTTCTAATTGCACGTTTAATGTTTCGTGACAAATAAAAACATTGATTTATGATCCGCTACAATGCACTAACTATAGTAACGCCCACATAAAGTACTATTTTCATTAGCTCTTTTTAAGGAATTGACAGATGTCACAGATATTTTTTATAAACAAGGAGCTGATTATATCCACAACGTTTTGTTAAAATATGTGCTTATTAAATGCACTGGAACATGATTTTGCATTTATTTTTAGAATTTGTCGTACATACCTTAATGAAATATATGACATATTGGATCTTATGCACCAGTCACATTTTCATAACAATTATACATTTTAGTATTTTATATTTAAATAAGTATTTAGAAGAAACTACCCTCGTACTTAAAGTCAAACCTTCAAACAAATTCATTCATTGTCTTAGGAAAAAGAAATGCCGACGAGGATGGGATTCGAACTCACGCACGCAGAGCTACATTTGCTCAAATTCAGCGCTTCAGATTATCCGATCACGACCCACTACGGTCTTAGGTGCGCACAGATATTCTTGTAAAACAATTGGGATTAATAATCAAGAAGGTTCATAATCCACAAATGTAGGAGTATGCTATTTTGAAATGATGTCATCTCATTATTGGTGGGGTAATTAGACGAATTGTGGTTAGAGTTAGTAGTAAAGGCGTGGAATTAGTTGTTTTTGCGCCGAAAGTGCAGCGGGTCCAAAAGTGCAGCGGGGGTGTTATCAGCACCCTATCACCTTATCACCGGACATTGGTTTGTGTTTTCTTAAGTGCATCCGGCTGTTATCACAGGTCCATCAGAAAATGTACGAAATTGCAGCGCCTTCGATTAGTTGTGTATTGAGGGTTACATCCATACACGCACATTACATGTATCCTCAATAATAATTCTGATTATGAAGTCGATAATTATTTTAATTAATTTAATAATTTTGATAACGAAACGACTAACCTGGACACCATAGACCTACCTCTTTTCGTCTTATGTGCTCGGGTATAGTTTATTAAACCGTAATTTCGTGTATTGCGGATTGCATGCACATTATATATCATCAATTGGTTTGAATAGCTGAATTTGATTTGATTACTTTAATTAATTTAAACATTTTGATAACGAAATGGGTAATTTATACATCATAGGGCTATCTCCTCTTTTTCTTCTTTTTCTTACCTGCTCGGGTATGGTTAATTAAATAGTAAGTTTGCGTATTGCAAACTGCATACATACACATAATATATATCAGCAATTGCTTTGAGCTGATGAATTTTGATAAATACTCATGATTCACACTCCATTAAAACAATTTTAATTGATAGGTTAGTAACATCACCACTAATTATTCTCCACTTTCTTTAATTTAATAATTTTGTTAACGAAATGAATACTTTGCACTTCATATGGCTATCTTTTTCCTCTCATATGCTCCAGTATAGTTTATGACCGTGTAATGCCGATTGCATGCACACATGCATATTATGTATCATTAAGTGTTGAAGTTGTGAAATTTTGATAAATTATTTAATTAATTTAATAATTTTGATAACGAAATTAGCACTTTGTTCATCATAAGACTATTTCTTTTTCTCTTATATACTCGAGTATAGTTTATTAAATAGTAAATTCGCGTATTCAGACTGCATACATACATGTTATACCGCGTGCCTGGAAAATGGCGGATTAACTCTTCAGTACGTTATACACGGGCGTTTCGGGAGTCCCAAAAAAATAATAAAAAAATTCTTTATGATGTACATTACGAAAAAAACGTAATTTTATAAAAGTAAAATTGGCAACACTGCACACCCCTAATGCATGAATACGTCCAGCTTACTTTCTGGTTTCTTAGCAACGATAGTAACTGAAATCCACCTTCGCTTTATATCAGGCACACATTGTTGTCAATTGGGAATTTTATCAAATTATTACAAAAACAATACAGCCATATCTTTGTGCAATCTAAATGAAATGGTAATTAAACATGGTCATGGGCGAGAAAAATATTAACTAAAAGTTTTATTACTAGTTATTGTGATAATGAATGAGCTGTTTAGTTGTTAAACGTAGCAAAAGAACCAATTTTAAAATCATTATAACTCCACCAAAATGTGAGAAGGATTTTTTTTACTATTTTTCCCAGACTCACCAGTTGATTGTTAAGAGCGTAGCGGAGAGTTAATCCGCCATTTTCCAGACATCCGGTATATCATCATTTGTTTTAAGCTGTTGAATTTTAATAATCACCATAATTCGGTTAATAATTTGCATCATCAAGTAATTAACTAACTAATCAAAATCGATATCAACTTCCTATATCATCATCAAAAATAAAAAGAAGTATGATTTTAACCGAATTAATGAATCTCATAAACTATAAAAGTAAGGCTAACTCTTCTTCTTGTATATTCGGATATAAATGAATTATAAATTCATATCATAAATTAATGTATTGCGGATTGTATCCATACACATAGGTATAGTAGAATTCTTTTCATTTTAGCAAGGTGTTCTAAAACTGTACCAATCACGCTAAATGGCTCGTTTTTGCTACCGAGATACTATTTGCACACATAAAGAACACCATCATATGGACGATGTTGCAGGTGGGCTAAAGGTGAAATTCAACATTAATCCAACAATTTTATTTTGATTTTAATGTGTATCACGGTTGTATACACATATCATCGAGTGGAACGAGACATTTTCAGTGACTAAATACTAGCGCTTTAGCTAATAATTTGATTATTACGTTAACGTCTAATTTTAATAGGGACTAGTTTTATAAATCGTCTGTTCCGGATTGCACGTACACATGTACCACCAGTTGGTTTGAGATGAATGTTGGACTCGATCAGCGGGTAATTGTAACATATCTTAGTAATGATAATGACTAATGTTTTGTAGTAATAAATGAAATAATTTTCTATTACCTTCATTTGCGAAAATATCAACGTTCAGATGACTTAGGTAAATTTTGTGTCCATGGAAACCAAAAGTGTATCTCATAATCCAGTACACAACTACTATGTGGTCAAAATTTGCAGATAAACTTCTTACTCAAATCAGTACTCGTTGGAATAGACAATTATCTGACAAAAAAGAAAATCAATAAAATATCAAATTTTTGTTAAAACTTACTTGGAATCACCACGAATCGAATTAGGCATTCATACTTGTATCCGAATTTTCAAAGTTTAGAACTAAGTGTAAGTTTAACACTTTAGATTGTTTAGATATCACATATCTAAAGTGCTATTCGCATCGTCTTCATTATCCGAAAATAGAAATACCGTTGACGTATCCTCTGAAAATACGTATATACATGAACCGTAAAGGGGTATTTTCACAAACAAGCAAATATGTATTCACACAAATAAAAAACACTACGGGTAGATGATGGAATGTGAAAAAAGAAATGTCTGAATTTCGTAAAGCATTAACTAAAACTAATTTTTCAGAGGGATATGGACGGATTTCTGTAAAGCAATGACACTAATTGCAAATTTTAACACGTACCACTCTTACAATTTTACGGAAGGTTAAACTTTCTTAGTAAATAACGTCGAGGCGCCACACTACTTAGACCTTCTAGAAGATAAAGCCCCTAACATCCCTAAGACGACGACTTATTAAGTAAGCGAAGAAGGTTTAAGGTGTCAGTTTTTTTATTAGGTACTCATAATCAGATTGACCAAATGAGAAATTTTTTTACTAAACAATGAGTTACGTATAGGTCAATGTAAATAAATTTTAATTAGAACCACAATGTTGATAACCCATGCCTGGTTATTAGAAACATCATAGGTATAGGTTTTGCATAATAATCTTTCTCGATCCGACCTTCCAGGTAGGTAGTTCTCAAAAATATTTAAATGATTACACACAGAATGTTAAGTCCTCGCAGAACTTCCAGAGACAGTAATTTGTAGTTAAACAATGGCACAACTGATGTGATGTAAAGATCAGACAA